TTCATAGTTTTGTATTTATTTATTTTTTTGAATTTTGTTTTGCTCGTTGAATATGTAAATATTGAACAATATTTTTGGTTTGATTTTTCTGTATAAAGCATATGTTGGCAGAATATAAAGAGAATCCAATACGATTTTAATAGGATTAATTGTGAAGCTTCGAACGGAGCACGATGATACGAACAACGGTTCTAATTTAAAATACAAGTATATGAGCACCTCTCGTTATCACCGAATCAAAAAGACAAAAGCACAAATCAATTGCAATGAAACCTCATTACTATCTGTGAAACAAAACTAACATTTGTTTAAAAAAAAACAACAACGTTCTGAAGACCCAAACCGCATAATTGAGCATTAACATTTTCGTAATAAAAGTAATATACACAAACGACACCCAAAAACCACACTTATTTAAGTCTAATATTATTGTAAGTTCGTAAGTAAACGAAAATAAAAAAAAAATATGATAAAATACATATGGACATTATGGCATGACCCTGATTTCAAATCGAGTGTCTTCCAATCAAACGGTCAGATAGTTTTTTGGCCTTATTCCTTTTCCGTCTCACATTTTTATTCAACACTGACTATAAACCCATTAAATTCGAATATGCCGGTAAACACCAACAATCATAAATTCAGTTCAGTCAATTTTCAATGTTGCGACAACAAAAAACATAACAAAGAAAAAGCACGAAAACAAGAACAACAATCCTAATACATGGGATTAGAATAAAAGAAAAATGAAAAGCCGTAATATGGAGAAAATCGTTTTTTTAAATGATTTTTTTCAATTATTCTGAAATTTGATCTTTTTTATCAAAATTAAACGTGCTTTTCTTTTCTTTTCTTTTTTCACGTGAAATCGGACCGTTTTCTACGAACCGGTTGCCATATTTGGTCACTTATTTTGATTTGAATATACAATGCAACCGATACTTATCTACATAAGCTTTAGAAATTAGGATGATTTTTTGCATTTTAAGTGAAAGCAAATCAAATCCGAGTTTTTGAAACAATAAAACCAACACAAAGTGAGAAAAAAAGCGCAAACAATGATTTTGCTAGGCATATTATTTAAGACAAAATAGGAAAACCGAGGAAAACAAAAAAGACTTACTAAATTTTAATGTGAATTAATTTGTTTGGAGGATTACTCGAATACCCACTACTAAAATACCCAAATCCAAAACGAAACGAATGCTCTTCGCACAGTGCACAGTGCACTTGTCATCACGAAAAATTATCGCATTCACCTGTATGAGAATGCATTCGTGTTCCATTGTCATTCGGTCTAATTTAACACACACACACCACACACAGAGACACTTGTTGAATATATCTATATTAAAATGAAACTCAATCAAATAAAAACGGGGCGCAAAACGGTTACTCTAGCATATTATAACAGTATAGTTATTTGCATATTTATCGTAAAATGAATGTTCATGCATGATTGTCAGGCTATTTGAATATTTTAAATATTCATCTGTATGCTGAAATGCATACAATAACTCCATTCCGACTAATTCATTTACATTAGCAAGATAATTCTTATTTTCTGTCTTTGTATTGTAAATAATTTCAAGTATATTTTTCATTTTTCTTTTATTCAGTTACGGTTTCGTACATTTCAAAGTTCGTTCCATCACTTTGGTACAATTGGAAGAATATACGTGAAATTGTCTCTGAATCTTGTGGAAAAAACCCAAACAAATGGAATAAAGATATGTATCGGTGAAAATGAGTGGGCTCTGCACAGAATTTACGGGACAATTTCATGTATTTCATAAACAAAAGAACGTACTATTCTTAGTAGAAAGTTCCTACCATTCAAAAAATGTTGATCTATGTTTGGAGTCATTGACAGTTACTGTTTACCAGTATGTTTTTTCTCCCAGCGACACAGTGTACTATGAGCAGGAATTGTTTCTCTGAAGAGGAGGAATTGTGAGAAGGAGAGATCTCTGATACGGATCCTGTTCTATTGAAGAGCACTCCTTCTCACCATCCCACTTCCTCATGAGAAGCTAGGAGGAGATTCTTCCTATGCAGAGGAACAATCCCTGACTATGGCGAATACGTTTAATCGGGCGCGTACGTATGTCATATTGCATTGAGTTGGAGCTTGCATTCGCTAACCACTGGTTGGCAATGTCAACAGTAAACAGCAATGTCAACAGTCGCTAACCAATGTCAACAGTAAACAGCAGCAACTGATCAAAATGACTGAATCCAAAGGAGTAAGTGAAGTATATGCGGTTGTCTCTTTTACTCGCATTAAACTTTTAAATTTGTCATAAGACTCACTTATTCACCAGCTCCTTTCAAAATCTAGAGATTTTTTTTTAATTAAAAGTATTTTGTTAAGTTTTATCTCTCTTTGTGTCGAAATTTTATTATATACGTTTTTCTGTTGTCTTCTTCTTCTTCTATTGTTTCAAACATTTTCCTTAGGTCACTGTTAAATGAATATATGAGTGTTTTAAATTCAATTTTATGTACATAAAAGATGCAATGGAAATGACGGTTTAATAATTAAACCGATTAGTCAAGCTGAAAAAAAAAATATATTTCACTATCCATTTAAAGAAAAAGTATTGTATATTGCTCTATAACACACACAAGGAAAAACTGCATAGCGGAAAAGCTACTTAATTATTAATTTTAAAATATGAATGAATATTCGTATATAAGTAAAAAAAAATCACTGGAGAACACCATACAAGTAATGATTAGTCTTAATATAATTGTAGCATTTACAAATCTTACACTAATCGATCCGCGTTCGGATCGACGGATACGAATTGAAATGTAAAACTAAGTAAAAGTAAACAACAAATAAACTTTATAAATTGTATAATTAAATCGTAGGTTTAATCATTTGAAATATATAAATTAAATGTATAATTAAAATTTACGAAGAAAAAAAAAACTAAAAATAAACGGACGGATAAAATCTGTCTGCTAGTATTTAGTCGAATGAATATGCGAATGGAATTTATGTTTCAAATCAATTTCATATGAATATGCATGCGTGGTTTGTTTTGTTTTATGTTTGTTCAAATGAATGTAAGAATGATGGTTAGATTTAAGAAGAAAATGGCGTATTGTTGCGCCGGGTTCACCATCGAATCGAAACAGCAATCAAAATGTAATTATAAAAACTAAATTTAATGGGATTTAAAACAAATGAAACCATGGTGTATATTAAAACCAGAAAGATACACAGTCACACTATTAACTAAAAACATTAAAATTAATCATTTTTAAAATGCTACTTGTCATGGTAGATATTTTGATGAATATAATACCAAATTAGAAACAAAACAAAAATGCAAACATCGTTTTGCAAACATTAACACAAAAAACACACGCAAAGCACGAATATTTATTATGAAAAATACATCACACAAATGGAGCAATAGCACAGCTAGCCTATGGTGTAAATGCAAATGTATATTAATCATAACACATACACAAACACACATATAGAACGAAAAAAAAAACAATTGTAGTTAATTAAACACCGATTTTTTTCTTTTCTTCTGTCAAACAAACGGAGTTTTGTGTACTCACCGAATTAAATGCATCATAGACAGCAGCTAGCGATAAGGCTTAAATCTAAAACCAATTTTTAGTCAAAAAAAAAACAGTTATTGTAATAGAAATTCGAATAAATAACATTCACACATTGATTTGTTGATGATTATTGATGAGACAAACAGAGAGAAACATATACCGTGTGCATTTTCCTAATCATTGCCAAATGAAATTGGGCACATTGACACAACATCAAATGAATATTTGATAGATAATATGAAAAAAATTAACATTGATGTAGTTAATAATCAGTTTGAATTAAGAAGCAAATCAAACACAAAAAACATGTTGTTTATAACAATTGAATATACAAAAAAACAGAAAATGAACAAAAAGACTAGAGTGATGATTATTGACTAGATTATACGGAAAATGAATAAAAAAAAGAAACCATTAACATGGAAAATACCAATATATTGACGCATTATAATACCTAATTCATTATTGGATGGAAATAGATACAAAATTTTAAATGTGAACAAATTAAAGAAATTAAATTCAAATTAAATGTAAAAGATGATTTACAGATTTGGCACACATTAAACAAAATGACAAAAAAATGATTATTATTATTATTATTACTATAGAAATTGTATAAAACAAAAAAAAAATGATGCAAAAATGGAAACTTGTGAAAAGACACACAAAATAACATCAACTCAAAATTATTATTAAAATTATATAAATAAATGTTATGCGTTAATAAAATTATATAAAATGAAATGTGTTTCCTTTCTATTTAGTTCTACTTTTATTTAGAATACATTTATTTATAATTCAGATTTTTACCTACAGCTCGTTGAATACTTACAATTTTTCTTCATTTCACACCACTGAAATCTAATTATATAATAGTCTTTCTTAGCCATTTTCATTGTTTTTTAAACCAAAATTATTAAAGATTTTTATGATTTGGGATCCAAAAAACCAGACAATATATTGGGCTGAATATTCATTTGAAAAGAAATAGCACGCTATTTTTGATAAAATAATAGAAGTGATTGTTATAATTATTGTACCAACGTAAGTGTTTTATAACCAAAACAATCACTTCTATTGTTTTATCAAAAATAGCGTGCTATTTCGTTTCATTTCAAATGAATATTCAGCTCAATATATTGTGTGCAAAACACATGAGCCGATAATTTACTTGCAACATTTTATATGGAAAATTTCTACTTTGAAGTGCTTGAAGTTGGAAAAGTCGTTCTTAGTCATTTTCCAAAATTGGCTCTTCGATAGTTTTGTTTTCCTTTGTACACTTCGGAAAAAAATGTTGTACAGGAAAGTAATAAATATCCAGGGGGCAATTTTTTACTATTTTTAATAAATAGCGACATTGAAATACATTTATTCAAATATACATTTATTGCATTGTTGATAAATGGTAAATATTACATAAAATTAAATGGTGTAGAATATTCACCAAGCGCCAGTTCGATTAATGAAAAATTACATTCCGAAAAAACGGAAGCACAATATACTTTGTCTCTTCCCTTGCGATGAGCTTTGTCATAAATCACCAAATCTGGATGCTCAAATGGCAGCACCCTCATCGATGGCAATGTAAAAATGGTTCGAATCATTTCTTCGACCATGTTCGTTGATTTTTTCGAGAAAAACTGTGAACTTTCGCACAATGCACGTAAAATGCATTGACGTCCATTATAACCCATGCTGAAAATGAAAACACTGTATTATCATTCTATTATTATAGGTTTTTATAATTTTAAACTTACTTGTCGATGAGTACTTCGAGGCGGTCGTATAAATCGCGACGATGACGACGTTGAACAATTTGTTTGGGAAATACTTTTCGATTTCGTTCATTAAGGATCCATGTATCGTTTGGTAAATCGTATGCAACGCCCCAATTAATAGCCCAACTAAAAGTTAAAAAAAAACCATTGCAATTTTAACATCTGTTACATTAAATTATATGTTTTTGCATTCCGACCTGAAGTAAATAAAATTTGGATTTCCAACAAATCCAACCGTAGCACAAAAAGCAACCTAAAATTTAAACCGAAATAATTATATACATTTTGTATGAACTTTTCTTGTTAATATTTTACCGAAAACGAAGAACCTTCTGGGAAGGCTACATATCGTTTGCGTCGCGATTTCAAATGATTTGTCACATTTTCCGTACGATTTAAATTTTGTTCAATCAATGATTCCAATGAAGTTGATGAATTTTGGTTGTTTATTATTTCTTCAGCATCAACAATAATTGTCAACTCTGTCAGAAAGGCTATTGTTAAAAATACGATTGTTGAATAAAATTCAAATTTTTGTATCATTTTTCTTCAAAATGAAAATTAATTTTGAATGAACAGAAATTTAAATCAAACTTGACTGAATTCGATTAAAATTAAGATCGAATGACACTTGGTTACATGTTATCGAACCAAAAATATGGAGTGTGAAATTTGTTGTCAATTTCATCATTTTGTCTTCTAATTTCTTGTTTCGAGGTGTTTATCGAATGAACATAAATAGATTTTGACATAGAAAAAAAAAACGATAATTGAAGAAAAAAAAAGATGCTGAGTCTTTCGTTATTTGACAATTAACAAAACGTCGTAGTCAATCACTGACCCCGACCGAACATGCTGAGAGAAAAAAAAACGCAAAAAACTGAACATTTCAACTTTTATTCATCATGACAACAAATGGTACGAGAGATAAAATTTTCACATCTGTTACATGAAATTATATGGTTTGGCATATCGACCTAAAGCCAATTCAATCAAGGAAATGCTACAGTCACGAAACGCTGATGAACAATAAACATTGTTTTTTCCCATGCGATGAGCGCGGTCGTAATCATGTAGGTCATTGTGTTCGAATGACAGCACTTTTGTATCAGGCAATCTAAAAAAGAAACAAACAAAAAAAATCAATATTCGCATCACGGAAAAGTCAATAAAAATTTGAATAGACGATGCATGACACACAAATGAAGAGATAAAAACAACTCTCGAACCACTCACGTGAACACAATGCGAATCAATTCTTCGACCATATTCGTTCCCTTGCCGAAAAAATACTGTGCACTTTCACACAGGGCACGTAAAATGCATTCACGTCCATTATATCCCATGCTGAACCGACAAGAAATGGAACAAAAAAAAAATAACCGTTAATACCGTTACGTTTGGCATTTGATTGGTGAATATGTGAGACTAATTGTTTATAACAACGAACTTGTCGATGGCAACTTCCAGGCGATTGTATAAATCACGACGATGACGCCGTTGCACCAATGGCTTCGGGTATTTTTCATGTCGATGTTGTATCACCCATGTTTCGTTCGGTAGATCGTACGCTAGCCCCCAATTGAGCGCCCACGACATGTAGTCTAACGATAAGAACTTAAAAATAATATAGGATTTTTTTTTAATAAAAAAGAACCTACCAAGTTCTGGGTTTCCAATCATACCGATGGTAGCACAAAATGCAACCTATTCATTCACCAAATGGTCCGATTGATGTGAAATAAAAGAAATTTATCAATTTTCAATCAAAGCTGATTTTGTTAAATAAATCTACAATTGAACAAACCGAAAACGATGAACCTTCTGGAAATGCAACATATCGTTTGCGACGCGACAATAATTTTGCTGTACCCATTTCGTTGGGCACATTTTCGCTCGAATTTCGTATTGAATTTGTAATCGAACCGCTATGAAAAGCAGTTGATTCGATGCAATGGACATTATGCACAACAACAATGAAAACTGCCATTAAAATGGTTGTTACACTTCTAACATTCACAATACGATCCATAGTTGATTTAAACCACAAAAGCAATTAATGCAACCCGCCAACTGATTATTTCGGTGAAATTTTGTACAAATTCAAGAGCAAATGAGGATATTTGGTTTCAATAATTATCTGGATATGAACAAGATACTATGTGTGTATGCTACTGGAAACGAAATGTCTATATTGCACGTTTCAAAGCTAAAATGTACTGAGTTTTTGCATATTAACGTATCATAACCCATACCAAAGCGGTGGCCGTGTCGAGACAAGTCAACTGTTTGCTTTTGCTACGCAATTTCGCGTCTCGTTTACATACCATATAAGACGAATCAACAATTATTTTGACACATGAATGTGTATATGTGTGTACGGTGTATGGTGTTACATTGTCTTCTAGCGGTAAATCTTCTATATGATGCATGCATACGGAGCCTATCATGTTTCAGTTAGAATAGGCTTATTCAAATGAATTTTGAAATTCAGATAGCACAAATTAGTTTACGGATGTTGCTCCAATTCGAAAAATGAGAATACAAAAAAAAGCATAATTGAAAGATGATTCCTGCCAATGGTCAATATAAATTCGTTTCATGCCAAATCGTGCTCGCTTTAATATTCGTTGAATATATATAAAAAGAATACCAATACGAAATGTCAGAAGGTGTTAATGAAAAAAACACGTTTATGAACTCTTTATGCAGACTTTGTGCCACTTGTGCTTGTCGGCTTCTCCGTTGTACATATGATTTGACGTGTGAATAAATTCGTAATTTTTTTTTTATTCCGTTGAGCATTCATGCTTGAGTTGGTCATAAAGTGTTCGCACTAATCGTGTGCATTAATACGTTGAGCTTATTTACGCTTTATCATTCCGAACCGCAACGTTAAAATCATCCGATTAACGAACACCGCATAAACAGTGTTATTCAAAACAAATTGCTAACATGAATATTGTGGCCTTGATATCGGTAATTTTTGCAGAAATTTTGTTAATTGAATCGATTCTCAGTGCGGACACCGCATGGCCCACCGATGTGAATAGGAATATAACCGCATTCGAACCAAATGGATTACGATTTCAACGAATTTTACGGCGTAAAAAGCGCTTTCTGCTGTTTCCTCCGGGAGCCGCCATTGTTGTATGTGTTAATGGGTTTTGTGTCATTTAAAAATCGATGAAAATTGGATTAAACGCAATTATTTTAATGATTTTAATGGAAATTGTTTTCACCATTTTTAGACAACAATGTCTTTTACAAAGACATTAGTTCCACGTTCACCGTCGGGTATAAATACAATTGGCGAGGTTGATATTTTTTACCCGCTGCAGAATAAGATCGAAGATTGGTATCCAACAAAGAAGCCAATACCGCCTCCACCACCACCATCGGATGAAGAAGACGAGAACGAAGGCGTTCTACCAAACAATGTGGGCCCACAAATTCCACCCAATATTCCTCAACCTCCACCACCGCCACCGCCGCCACCACCAATCGCTCAAAATGATCAACCTACAAACGATAATCGTATGAAAACGCTTCTTTATTTTGACCTCTACCGCGCAGAATATTTCATATTTGATTTAATTTTAGCTCCACCTGGGCCAATTAATGTTGGCACACCATTTTTACCAACGCCTGCCAATTTACCAGACGGTAGATTACCGACTGATCAAGAAATCGGAATTACGCCCGGCACAATTATATCTGATCCGAATTTCGACGTGGGCACACACCCAGGTGAAATATATGTGGATAAAAATGGGAATCAATCACAAAAAATACCACCACGTCGTTTTTTCAGTGAATATTCAAAATACTCAACGTCTTCATGGCCACATCAACAATATAATCAATATGAATCGGTGAGAAAAGTGAATCTATTTTACAGTCTGACTATATAAATGTTATTTATTTAAATTGAATCGTTTTCTTCAGTCCTGGAATCCGACGAGCAATTCAAAAGGATACAATGATTGGAAAACTTATAATGATCGATATTATAGTTCTTACGGCAAAAAACAATCACAGAATCGGGTGAATGTACAAACGATGCAAAAAGAAAATAGCATTTATTCAAACACAAAGGAGAATGCATGGCGATACCAACACAGAGATGCGCATCCATTTGAATCAAATTATAGAGGATATTCTAACAACTATTACAATCGAGCTGCTCGTGAGAGACGAGACATTTTCGATCAACTTGAGTCATTTATGTCATTGTAACTAAACGATTTTCTATTATTTTATTTTCCCTTCGTTTTCATCTCGATTTCTTTGAATTCGATCGGGGCACAGACTGTTTTAGAGAACAAGAAAACAAAAAGAAATATACGATTGTTCTATTTCAGCAAACAATTCGATACGAAATCTTGTATATTACGGATGATATGTGAGGCAAAGCATTATTTATTACCACCGGGCAAATCTCTTTTCCAAGACATATTTCGTATCCTTTTCACGTGAGTAGAGAATTTATTTTAACTATTTCAAAAAAAAAAAAAAAAATTACGAAAGATGATTTCTAAGAAAACTTATTAATTTTCAGTTTGCCACCTGAAGACGAGGTGAATGATGAATATGCGCGAGCAACCCAAGCAACTGAGGAGGACTGTGACACAATTTACTCGGAAAAATGTCGGTTTAGTGTGTTGGGTTTTTTAATGAGCAAAGACAGACCAATTCTTTAAGTTTAAATTGAGAAATTGTTCAATAAAAGAAATAATCGATTCGAAATGGCTAATAAAAATGACATTAAATCTTTTTTTCTCTAAATAAAAATCGAACGGCATAAATGGTGAAATAATTCTATTCGATCAAGTTTCCGTTTTGTAACTGAATAATATTTATTTTCGCATCCAAGTCATTACTTATATTTTGAATTCCAAACGCTTTCTTTACAGTCGGGATATAGTTGTTGACAATTTTCTGTTGAAGCGTGAGCTTCATCATATTTGCCATGCATGGGATGAGTGGTCGGCTCGAGTGGTTCTGGTAAACTACGTAAATAAATGAAAAAGCGATTTTAGTTTTATGATAGAAAAGATGCGGCAAAGATAAAATGGAAAAGTTTGCGACACGTACGTAAAAACGGTTCGAAGTAATTCGACGACCATGCTTTCAGGCTCCACATTATGTTTGCGTTGTCCCGTTTCGCATAACATCTTTAAAACACACTGATCGCCCTTACTGCCTTGCCTTTAAATCAAATGAAAATGGGCATTTTAGTTTTGTGAATTTGTTGTTGTTGTTTTGATCGTTTTAGTATTGGTGATTTACGTTTTAAGAAATGTATTGATTTGCTTATACAATGCATGTCGTGAATTCCGATGTAAGTTTAAATCGAATTTCTCCAATGGTGTCAGCTCATCGATGCTACGCTTTTTAAAAGCTGGATGAATAATGTGGGCGTAGTTTGTTCGTCTCTGATAGTTTGAATCAACTTTCCGATTGGCCTTTACATTTTCGGATAGACTTGAGATGAAAAGAGCGAGAGAGAGAGAGAGCAAGTCCAAAATATCAAAAAATATTTACAAATAAAATGGAAATTTCAAAAAGAAAAAAATGAATAGATAGAATTGCATATTCACATGTTAGTAAATTCCTGAAAATCTTTTGTGCTCAATGGTCGATTTTGTGGAATTTTTTCAGTGATTTTTTTAAATTGTTTCATCAAACTATCGGCATATGAAATATATTGTTGGATTTTATTTGAATTGGATTGTGCATTGGCTGCTTGTGCCATATACGATGATGGTTTGTATCCGGATTGATAGTACGACTTGGACGGTGATTGGTATTGGTTTTTATCGTTTGTAAATTTTTCTTTCGGAATATTTGTATAGTAATTGATATGATTTGCATCGGCAGCATTCTTTTTCGACGGAAGCACATATTGTACATTTGTCACATTTTTATCATTTCGATGAAGCAATGGTAATTCGCCCATTTCATATTGATCACGTAGCTGTTCGTCCAAATAAATCGGTTCCGATGGCAGCTCCCAGGCCACTTTCCATAGAAAAAAAAAGAGAACAAAAACAGTTTAAATCACATCAACAGCTTTTAATCTATGAATATGCTTACTCGCAGCCGTAATTCCGAGAGTAAGGTAGTTGCTGTACCCAACAATCGGGTGATATGTATCGTAAACTATTTGCAAAAAAATCATCTTTAAAGGTTATATTGAGACGAAACGAAACGAAAGGTATGGATTCTAATTGAAAACGGTTCACCGTACCGATTTGCATGGAAGACCCGGGAGGAAAGATCAAATATCTGCGTTTCCTTGACAGCACTCGTTCGCCGTCTTTATTAAAAGTTCTATCGTCACGCTTCGTCCGTTGTGATTCGCTTGAAGGGTTTGTTTGCCGTGATTGATTATGTATTGATGCATTTTCCGTCGTAGATAAATCGACATCATATGGCTGTTCTTCGTGTTCGGTGATATTACTTTGCTTCAAAATTGAATTTCCGTTTGCACTTTTTCTTTGGTCTGCATTCGTCTGGATGGCATCCGTCAAGGAGCCGTCAAGCGTGCATTTCGTCTTGACACAATTTAATTTTGCATTTACATTCAATGCGGAACCAAATTGTTGTTTGGCAACCGAATCCGGCACAGATGCTTGATTGTTGTTGTTGTTGCTGCTTCCATTTAAAGTGTCGGCCGTAGTAATTAATATAAATGGTGACAATACCAAATGCATCAACATGAAAATAATTAATTTACGAGCCGGAAAGCCGACAAAAACAACAACCAAACTTGAATGACATAATGTCGAGAGCTGCGAATGCTTTCGTGCCATAATAACTTCTAATTAAAACGTTGCGTCACTTTTGATTTTACACCTTTTTTTCGCCAACCAATTACAATTAAGCGAAATGAACAGGAATGAAAATAAAAACAGGTAAGAAATGTTCACACTTTTAAATTATAAATGAAGATAATGTAAACACTTAACAGTTCGGACTCCACTAGAATTCAACAAATTTAATACTTTTTTACTACTCGCAAAAACAAACATTCATTCGAACGCTGATTCAAAAATCACAGTCACTTAGTTACGGTGAAAGAAAGAAAAATTGATTGGCGAAAATCGATTGAAAATAGAAAGGAAGTCGGCGTCGTAACTCTTTTGAAATGACGTTAAAAGTAAACTTATTACTTCCGAAAAAAGCGCACGAAGTGGCGTCTGTTTGAAAATCAATCGAGATAGTGACAAACACGTTTTTGATTGCATTCACTCGAACCATTGATAAGTCGATTTTCCCTATTTGTCCATTTAATTTGCTCTTTCCAGTTCCACAAAAATTTATGCACAATTTAAATTTCGTGTCAGTTATTTAAATGTCCGTTACACTTTTTTTCGCATTTAAACCGTACAACTATGAGATCAATGAATTTGGAGCAAAAATTTATCGTTAAATTTATTTAATATTTGTTATAATTTACTGAACCGTGCATAAGACCGTTAGAGTTTCACAGAAATTGGTACTTCCAACATTTAAACGGGGCACACGAATTACACACTGAATAAATTAGAATCGATTAGAACGATTGTCACAAACAACCTTATTAAGCGGAAAAAAAGCACTTGGTGATTGATGGAAGGGATTTTTTTTCGCGTAATGATAAAATGTTTGTGAAATCAAACGATTCAAATGAGAATTAAAATGAGTTGTAATGAACAAAACCAATTTTTTCGATGAATAATTCAGAACAGAGCACGTTGGGATGTTTTTGGAATGAACATTTCATTGATCAATGGTATACATGTATGGTTTTACATGTTGGATATGTTAAACAATTTAATGAACCGAAATGCACTATGTTCATTATGAAATGGAATTCATCGTGCAAATTAAATAGTTCCGAAACAATGCCACTTCCATAAGTCACACATTTGTTTTGTATAACAGCATCTATCTGGGGAAATAGGTGGATTTGTTCACATCATAGTTGGTAATCAGTCAAGTGAGAGAGAGAAAAGTAGCGGATAGATTAGGACAGAGAGAGAGTAGAATGGAGCGAGAGAGAGGTAACAAGTCATTGACCATCGATAATTGCATGACGTCAAACATTCAACAGCTCGAAACATGTAATTAATGCATTTAATGAATATACACAAAGTGTAAAGCATGCACGAATACTCCGCCATGAAAATCGGTTTTAAATAGGAATATACATATTTCGTTCGCACACACGGACAACGTGATATCGTTGGTCGTTTGTCTTCAATTTGTCGTTTATCGTTTGGCTGTTGTGCTAATCAACATTTGATTATGTTGCGAACCAGATATTAATGAAAAATCCCATCGTGCATTACTTATACAGCCAGAAATTGGTTTCGAAACAATCATTTGCACATAAATTAAATGCTACAGAGGTTTTCTTTTGTTGTCGTTTATTTGTTTTGAGCTTGAACATTTTGAAAATTATTTTGATGATTGTCAAAAGTTGCATCAGATTCGATGAGAAAACCAGCGTTCCAAATGCTATCCGGACATAACGAATATTTGGCGACACAATCAACAGTCGTTTGATGTGCATCATCGTAATCAATGTGGCGCTTATGAACAACACGCTGTAGTTGAGCCACCGGCAAACTGTCGAAATAAATTGGTTGAGTTTTAGCACCAAGCACCAATCATTTTCCAAAATACAATTTGCATTTTGATAGTCTCACCTGAATACAACACGAACAATTTCCGCCAAAAATGAACCTGGCTCGGTTTCGTGACGCTTTTGTCCAACTTCACATAATGTTTTCAACACACATTCCGTTCCATTATACCCTTTGCTGAAATTGAATTTCAAAGTTGATAACAAAAAAAACTATTAAACTTGAAATGAAATAATAAATAATTATGAAATTTCGACAGTGTATGAATGTAACGCTTACGCAAAAAGATATTTTTCGATCATTTCGTATAGTTTATGACGTGTATTTCGATGATGATCCAGATAAAACTTTTCCTCAAAACTAAGCGATGCATCTCGTACACTTCGTTTTCCCATTGCCACATAAACCGTATGCAATTTGTTTATAACGGGCTTCAAATCCGGGTTTTTTGTTGATTTCGTACTATTCACCGTTACCGAGCTGTGAAAATACGATGAAAGCCAAAATGATTTGAAAAATGCATTGAAATGTATGAAAAATTCTTACGTCGCCTTTGGTGGTTGTATTGTGGTGGTTTTCATTTGAGTGGCAGATTTGAGCCATGGTTGAAAATATGTATTGTTCAAATATTTCGCAAATGCATTGTATTGATCAGCACCACCATATGTGCTTGAATATGGGGGTCGAACATTGTACATTGAATTGTAATCGCTATTGCGATTATAATCTTTCACATTTGAGTAATAATAGTTGGAATTTGTATTATATGAACAATTGCGAGTGTTGCAATAGGTATTTTTGTTGAAATTCGCTGGGTTCAATGGCGAATTTCCGAAATAGTATGAATCAGGCTTCCGACGCTGTAGATATTTATAATAATTTGCAATTCGATTCATAACATCATTTCCGTTGTAATGGTGATTTGAGTAACTCGAATCGTTTGGTTTATTTACAATGTTCGATGATGCGGTGGATGCTTTAATTTCCCCTTTTCTATTTAAATCGGTGACATTTTTATCCTCCTTGCGTAATAGTAATGGCAATTTTCCATTTTCGTATTGTTCCATTAGCTCCTGTTCAGGATATGTTGGTTTATCCGGCAAACCGTAAGCTAATGCAACCGTGATCTGTAAATGATATAATTAGAATTGACCATGATTTATGAGCAGAAAAAAACAACCAACATGCATTACATACACCTGTCGTCACGTAAAGCGTGTAATCTGGAATTGTGATTGTCTGATCATAGACTGAAATGGTTTAAAATAAAAATCAATAAAGCAATTTACATGAAACGATAATTTTTCTAAAAATGTTTTGGAACCTACCTAATTGTATTGAACTGCCGACAGGAAAGATGAGATACCTCTTTTTGCGTGATAGTTTTCTTTCGACCTTTTTTGTGGGAACCTCATCGTCAATTCTTGATAGAGTCTGCATTTGCTCTATGCAAAATACAAACAAAAACAGTAAACAGCAAAAAAAGTTTTTGTTAAAGAACATTTTTCCGTTCGAGAGACAATTTTATTGAGTAAAATTACAGAAGATGTAATAAACGATATGCACAGCAAATGAATGAATCTTGTTGATTCAATCGTAGAAAATGGAATGATAGATGTCATATTAAATGCTTCATTGGTTGATGGCACGTTAATTAGTAATTCAAAGACATCAAATGGAAAAGAGACGGAAAAAACGAACAAGAACGAATATGAATACAAAAGTAGAAAAAAGACCAAAATGTATATATTGCCTTTGATTAAATTAATTTGAAGATGGTGCAGTGCTATTGTAGCTACTCTGACTAACAGTAACAATTAATTAATGTTAAATGAAAGAAAATTTGATTTGAGCTAAACGAAACGACGGTTCTTGAGCACAAAATGGAACGAAATGTTTGACGCAAAATCATCAACAACAACAAAACCATTTTGAAATGTATGTATTCGGTGAATGGTGATTTTGAATGATTCAACCAAAGCTAATGAAGAATTTTTTTCACCGTACGTCCCAATAAAATGTTGTGAGTGTTCTTTGCTATTTTTCGGATCATGTTATAAAATGACCGTTATTGGAACAGAAAGTCAAAGGTACTTGCTGGCTGGCAATCTTACGTTTTTCTTCGCACAATGTTACACACCAAAAATGTAAACGTCTGTTCAGTTGTTCGGTTGAAAAAAAGAGAAGATGTAATTTTGTCACTCTGCTCTTCGAGCATCTTCGTTTAATGGATGTGTCGGATGGTATTTACTTAGTGTGCTGGCATGTAACATTAATTAAATCGCACGTCATTCGAATCTCTGCTCAAATGCCATTCGAAAATGTTCATTCTGATTCTTGTTACTTCATGCAGAAGTGAACAAACACTGAGCAGATGGATGCACTCAAAACGTGATATCAACATATACCAATGCAAACACACACTTTTCACACATTTGAAATGCATTTTTACTTCCGTTTGATATTTGTGCTTGCAAACAATCTGGACAAATAACACAAGAGTCAGGCAGCTAGAAGTGAATGAAAGAAAAACCAACAGAAATTCCAAAACAGCAATGCGAAAAATAAATAAATATTCCGGTTTCAGTGATCTCTTTTACTCAAAATGAAACACATTATTTCTATTTATTTGTCAAGATTTCAGCATTTGAAAACTTAAGTTTCATTCAATGTGTCCGTTTAATGTGTGAATGTGTGTGTGTTGTATTTATTTGGATAAGCAATGGATGTTTGTTCTCACATCACAGTGAAATTTTGTGTGTGCACACAGCAGAGATGCATTTTCAATTACACTCCAACTACTATTAAAATTGCTTTTCCAATTTCGAAATAAATATTTTGTGAACATGTTTTTAAATCAAATGACAACATGTACAGAGCAGACAACTTGTTTCTAAACATTTTCCAGTTATCATTCCATACATTCCATATAACGACCATTCAAATCAATATTTTCAATGAAAAATCAAAGTCAAACTTCATTAGAACCACATGTGTCAAGTGCACGATTTTGGTTTAAAACAATTTAATAAAGATGTCACATGATGAGGCCAGAAACTTTTTGAAAAGACGGTATTGAAAGAGAGAAAGAAATGCGTATGTGTATAGGGAAAAGACAAACTTAGCTTTTGTGAACTGTTTATTAATGTCGACGAATAAATTAAATCGTTTCGTTTTGATGTGCGTCAAAATATTGTGTGGTATTTGTTCAAAAAATTAGTAGCAAATTTAACAGTAAACTTCTGAAAATATTTGTGGTAACTTGATTTTGAGTTACCTTTGCATTCGTTCTATTTACTCAAATGAAAAGAAAATAAAAATTATTTAGAACAAGAGAAATGGGAAAAGTAAATGTCACACAAGTCATCACGGATTCAAATTGGTCACTTGATTTTTCGAGTTTGTTTCAGTCTCGTTTCGAGTGTGTTGTAACAATATTAATAAAATAATGAATGTTGTTATTTTGCTAATTTTAATTCTGAATTTATTCATTGCAATTTATTCGCATGACTTCAAAGGAATATCACTGGCTGTGGATGCGCCGACGAATTCGACCATTGTGCGACACAAACGATATTTGGATTTCATTCCAAAATCAAGAATGTTTGTAAGTGATAATTATCAATTAAAATATTCATTTCACTTGAAGAAATATTTAATTGCTTGCAGTTTCGAGCCAATGTCAAAGCGAATGTGCTATCGGCTAATCAATTATTGGCATTTGCTTATGGATATCGAGCCAACTATCCCATTGAAAATGATATAAGAATCAAACGACGAGATGTCTACGACAGCATGGTGGAACTCATTGATCAGTAAGTTTATAGCATTGCAGAATTCGGCTATGATATTTGAGAAATTTGTGTTTTAGCCATGGTTTTGATGGAAGTGCTTGTCTCTCAAAATTGTTGTGTGATGCCAGTTCAACTATTTCAATTGAATCCGGAATGTTTACTCGACTGTATCAACTAATTTTTCGGTTAGAATTTCCACCTTGCATCAATTGTTCGAAAGCATTTGGTATTTTAATTTAGTGTTTTCCGTTTCAGACTACCACAAGCTGGCGATGAAATATATACAGCGTTTAATGTCGATAAATGCATGGAATATTCGACCAAATGTCCATTAAGACTATCAAACTTAACACCATACACGGATCTAGCATAAATTAGGAACATTCTACGAATTTCAATCACAAAAAAAAAATAAACTAAATTTACGTAGTAATGAGAAGAATTTGGTTTCATTTCGAAAAAATGTTATCTAAAAAATAAATGGAATTTCTTAGGATCTCGATTGCAATGTTGCATTGTTTCTTTGAAGAGAACGGAGAAGGAATATTGAGAGGAGGCGGAGGGCACTGTGGACGAATTAATGAGGAAACGTTTTTTAAAGCTATTATTATTACAAACACTCACTTTCTGGTTAAAAGGATTGTCCTCTTCAATTGAGGATTCTCCTTGGTGCCCTTTTCTTCCTCATTTTCCTCCTGAATAAATCATTCCTGATATAAATTCTTTTTCGATCATAAAGATTAGTTCTTTGTCCTAATTGTATACCATGCGACATATCTTGCTCGTATTCACACTATTTTACACCGTTATTAACATTCAACGTAAAAACAAAACTACCGTGAATAAACAGAGAAGAAGAAGAAGCTTCAAGCGTGAAACCAATACCACCATTGATCGGTAAGCTCCATGTACAATTCATACATCATTTAATGAATTCAGTTTGAAGTGAACATTCGATTACTACACATTTGTGTCTTGACTTATGGTTAGTTAAACTCAAACTCTTTTCAATTAACTAATCAAAATTAATTTTTTTGTTTCGAATATTTTTCAGGTTGAATCATGAACAGAACGATGTTTTGGAGTTTGTTTTCACTTTTCATCGTTTTTTATTTGAAAGTGGTGTTTTGTGGAAAAAGTTCATTGCTATCGATAGATAACATGGAAAATGATTTGAATGCTGCTATCAACAGAAACGATGGCGTTGATTCTCTATTGGATACCGGAAAAGTGTTAAAACGTGATAAACGATATCTGTTATGGATTGGCGGTGGAATATCAAAGGTAAAATACAATTGATAAAAATCATTTATTTTATTTCGTTCTGATTCTATATGAAATGGATATTTTTTATAGATAGTTTTGGGTTTTTTGGCACCAGTCGAAACACGAGATCGTGTAAATTGGCGAACATTAAATTTAGCGTACAATTTTCAGGCGCAATACGTGGCAATTCCGAATGCAACGTTTTTATGGAATCGTTTTACGCGAGATTTACGCACACAAAAGAAATTGTACGACCAAAAAGGTGTTTATACCAGGGATTTGACGCGGGATCTAATTTATGGCGCTCTGACATTATTTTTGGACAGCAAAGGAAAACCGGGCCGTCAGTGTTTGCTTAAATCAATTTGCGACGCCGCTGAACATCCAATTGTTCGTCGAGGTGTTTTTGAAGAAATTATTCATCTAATTTTAACGTAAGAACACAGTAAATAATACACACGGACTTCCAAGTAATTTCCTTCTTTGATTTCTTTTCCACGCAGTCCAAGTATGGATGAAGTAATAAACGATGACTACAAAAACGCCCGAATGGCTGGCGAGCAGGGTGCGGATTGTGCACGACTGTATGGCTGTCCATTTGGTGATGGATTTTTGGATAAATTTTCATATTTGACTCATGAATAGCAGTTCCAGTGTTGTGTTCCGTGTTGAATAATGTAGTGTTTTGTAAATTGTTTGCGTTTGACCAAGATTTCAAATAAAATGCAACATCTATTTTGTCACATGGCCAATTCTTTTCTGTTTACTTATACTCTATTTCTTCCATTTTCGCTTCTCTCTTTGTTTCTGTAATTATAGTCGGTCCATTGTTTTAAGAACTAAACCAAAGCAAAATTAACAAAAGTGATTTATGCAGGGCGATTTCATCACGTGCTGAAACGTGAATGTTTCAATCACTAGGTAGTAATACAGATTTGGGTTGACGTGTGTGAAAGCGTTTGTTTGCCATATCAATTAGAATCTTAAATACAAATCAAACACACTGAGAATTGTGTTCCATTTTAGTTAATATTGACACAAATTATTTGGAGATGTAAGGCCGAACCAAGTGTCGATAAAAGTGTTTTTCATGCTTCAGTATCAAATTACAATTGAAGTCCATATAACGATTGAGTCATATAACGCATTTAATACCGCGTAATTGAGATATTTCTATTTCGGCAACCAAATAATTCATTTGAATAACAAAGGAAGCGTAAACATTTTGGCAATCTAAAAATATCAACAGTCAATGGACTTAGTTGTTTCCTGAATAGCCGCCATCACAACGAATAACAATTATGAAGTGGAGTGAAGTGTTCTGCTGCATTTTAATATGCTTCGTTTTAAGTCCAATACAATTTGGTGCTGTCAATGGACTCATTTGGTCTCAATATACACTGATGCAAGTAAGATCTAATCATTTCAAGATTTAATTAAGATGTTTTACTTACTTTTTTTTATCAGGTCGTATGTTGTGTTTCGTGGCCGATCCCATATAAAAATCCACTTCGGAAATTATTCTTCAACGTTGGATTTCAATTCAACTACAATGAACCGTTTGCTTTGTCAAATTTTTACAATGCAACGTATTATCAAAATATTTTCAATAGTCGCGATTTTAAGGGTTCCCCATCTACAACAAACAACGATACCGATAATCGTATGCAATCGAGAAGCATCGATGGATCCAGTAATTTGGTTGGCAAAGATTTAACAGCAGCAGAATTCTATGAAAGCATTGAAGATAATTTCGTTGAGTATGTTCATTTATTTCAATTGACATTGATTTATTAGTTCATAAATATTTTCTTTCGATAGAATTGGCTACGACCGAAGCTGTTTGAAAAAAGCAATATGCGAACTTGCCAGACATCCACTGCATAAAGAAGATGATGAAGAGCATTTATTGATGGATGTCATAAATTTTGTATTAACGTAATTATCAGAGATAAATATGATACTTTGTGCGATATTAACCAAAAACCAAATACTTTTAGACCTTCAAACCATAACGGTTTTGCCGAGCATGAAAAACACGAACGCCAAAAGTATGAAACAGCCCAGAAGATTGGTGAAAATGGTCATGATTGCGATGTTATTTACTCGGAATGTGAAAATTCCATATTAAATAACTTTTCTCATTTATTGATTGAATAAATATTCAACAATGACGATTATAATTGCCAACAAATAGATTAATAAAAATAAAATCTTTTTAAGAAAAATAATTCAATTTTTTTAAATTTAATATTTATGTTGAAAAAAAAAACCGCATTTTTTCTTTGCACACTGACTCCACCTATTGAGGTTGTGTGAAACTCAACACATGCAATTTCACCATATTGTGAAATTCGAATTTGACGTTTGCATCTAGTCGTCCAAAAGTCAAGTGAAAATCATCAAAAATGCCAATTTGTTTTCACAGTAAGTTGAACTGTGATACTTTAGTACAGTTTACAATCATCAAACATCTAAATCGAGGGTAAATATGTCTCAACCGACTCCAGGAAGTGCTCGTTCGCTAGCAGTAAGTATAAATAATTGAAAAAAATCAAAAAATTTCATTTGTAAAATGTTTTGTTTTTTAAATTATAAAATAAAGAAAACTGCGTCGACATCAGCATCGAACAGTGCTGCATCGTCTGTTCACGTGCAAGAATTTACCGTTCGAATTCCAAAAAATCTGAAAAAATTGCACCATGTGATGCGTTTTAATGCAACGCTCAAAGTCGACTTTGCACAGTGGAAAAATGTCAAAATGGAACGTGAAAATAATCTTCGTGACGCACGCAGTGGCATTGAAGAAGAAATGCCAAAATATGGCGCTGGATCGGAATACAATCGAGACATGAAAGAAGAACTTCGGCGTAAAAAGTTTGGCTATCAACCGCGCAAATATAAACAAGGTAATCTAAAGTTATATCAACTAAAAGATTTTCGTTTTCATTCCCACGAATGGTGTGCTAAAGTGATGTGTTGGCATTTTCATTTCTGCAGATTTACAGCCGTGGATCCTGAAGGTTGACGGTAAATCTGGCAAAAAATTTCGTGGCATTCGTGAAGGTGGTGTGGGTGCATATGCATCGTTTTATGTATTTGCCCATGCTCCAGATGGTGCAATCGAAGCATATCCGCTCAACGAATGGTACAACTTCCAGCCAATTCAACGATACAAAGCACTCTCGGCCGAAGAAGCCGAACAAGTGTTTGGTCGACGAAATAAGGTTATGAATCACTTTTCATTGATGATGCGCCATCGTTTGAAGGGCGACGAAGAAGGACAAGATGATCCAGAGGAAGCAAAATTAAAATTGTCCGGTAAAAAGGGGAAAGAATTTAAAATCAGCGATGCCGATGACATTATGATGGTATGTATTCGCATTGAGGTATCAAGTGTCACAATATGACTCATTCACTCGTTTGTTGTGTGTGTTTACACAGGATTCAGATGATGATAGTGATTCGGAAGATGAAAAGAAGAACGATGAGGATAGTGATGCAGACTCAAAGAAGAAAAAAGGCAAGAAATTACCTCCAAAGAAGAAGAAGAAGAAGAATGGCAGTGATGACGAGGCCTTCGAGGAGTCTGATGATGGAGATGAAGAGGGCCGTGAAATGGATTACATTGAATCAAGCGATTCCGATGAATCTGATCCTGAATTACAGGTACAAACTATTATCAAGTACTCTTGACCGAATCAAAATTTAAATTTGCTTTCCAAAGGTGGACAAAGAAATGAAATCGGTTGCCGAAGAAGATGGATTACGTAAATTGCTAACATCTGACGAAGAATCGGAAGAAGAGAAAAATTCGAGCGATGAATCAAGCAAAGATGGTGAAAAGAAGAAAGAGACCAAGGAGAACAATACAAAAGATAAGAAAAAATCGAAACCGAAAAAATCAAAAGATGGCGAAAAGAAGGAATCGCTGAGTGACTTAAGTTCCGATAGCAGTGATTCGGAGGCTGAAACAAAGAAACCGAAAAAACTGAATGGCAACAGTGCAAATAATTCAAGATCGGCATCTCCAAGCATTACCGATGCATTGGCAGCTGGCCCAAGCGGACTGAAACGAAAACTACCGACCGATTTGGGATCTGCTGGTAATAGTAATGGTGCTTCCGAAAACAGTAACAGCCCGAATGTTACACCGGCCAAGAAAACAAAATACGATGCATCACCTTCCGTACCGGCATCTTTTGCTGGAGCTATCTCGAGCAATAGAGAGTAAGGCATTATTATATCGACTTACCTTGGATACTTTACTCATTTATTTATTCATTTTTATCAAACAGTGACAATGGTATCACCGAAGAAGCTGTACGACGTTATTTGATGCGCAAACCAATGACCACAACCGAACTTCTATCCAAATTTAAAAATAAAAAGACCGGAGTATCAAGCGAAAAATTGGTAAACACGATGACACAAATCCTGAAGAAAATCAATCCGGTCAAACAGACTATCCAGGGAAAAATGTATCTAAGCATTAAAAATAAATAAGAGGGAACGCAAAATTGTCAGACAACAGATTTGCCGGTTGTTTGCACATTTAACAATTATATTTCTAATCAATAGCAAAATTGTTTTTTTTTTTGTTTTTTCAAAACAAAGGTCAATGAATAATAAATACCATGTAAACACTGAAAAAAAGGGGTCATGCTACATTTTCAAATAATGAAAATATAGCCTTGACCCTATTTGATTACTTCGTAGTAATCGAAAATGTTATTCAATAAACCGGTCTAAGTTCAATAATGCGAAATAAAGAAAAGAAAAATACAAATAAAATTGATTCCATTTTTATTACAAATTGTCCATTTTTCATTAGTCATCATCATAATTAATTTTGTCTATATATAAACCACTTTCTTATGCTATTAATATTGTAGCTTTTTTTCGCTAATTACAAATATCTAGTGAGTCAAAATGTCGTCGAATCGCACGTACAATTCTTTGATCGTTTGTTCTGTTTAGCAGTTGGGAAATCGAATTAAACTAAATTAATTAATATGCGTGTATGAATCAAAGTAAATTACAAAAAAGGTAAGAATACGCGTTCATCTCATTTTGAAGAAGAGAGTGTTCGTCTAAATATCTCACGCTTGCCATTGTTTACATTCTTAGAATAACTATTCAAATATTTGTATAAATATTATTTTATTGCTCCGTTCATTGAACGAATTATATATTTTGTGTGTGTGTGTGTGTATGTAATCCTGAATTTCATTTTCTTTCTATCCACGCAAATAATACCATGAAAAAAATATAAATCAAATGAGATGATATTATTCAAGGATTCAATACATAGGAAAAACGTACATATTACAAATCATAATAAACATAGTTCTATATATTCAACTAAAAAAATTTAGATTAGGGTTGTCTTGCGATTTCTAATTTCTAATGCTTTGCTGTTGTTGTTGTTGTTTTTGTTTTTCTTTTTTTTTCTTTTATTTAAGTTCTCTCATGCACTTTTATAATATTCTCTATGCTTAAAATGTACTTCAATTTCGTTTATTTATACATAATCTAAAATTGTGGGTGTATAAATCAAATGTGCATTGTGTGTATTTCTTTTATTTTACATAGATGATTTCTCGTTTTTTCTACTAATTATGTGTAAATGTGTTTGTGTTGCTACGATTTATGCTACGATTTAAATGAACCAATTAGTTTGTATGTGGATGCATTTATGTTGTTCATAATAATTTAAATTGTGAAAATTAACGAAAAAGTTCATTTCATAACAAAATGTTAGCCTATACGTATTATTTTTTTTAAATATATACTACAATATATGAGGGATGTACATGTTTAATTAGTGGTTTGAAGTACGTTGATCAATTTCAATTCGCTGTCGGAATCTATCATTTAACATTTCTTTAATGTTATGTGTTAATGTGTGAGTGTTGTATGTGTACATGATTCCGCTAAATATAAATTAACTCAAATTCGACCTATTAATTTACAGATGATGTTAAAACGCAGAAATATAAATAAATTGGACGAAATATTCAATCTTATTTCGTTGAACAACAACAACAGAAAGAAAATCTTTCCTCTTGTGTGTTTTTCTTGGTTGCCCGTGATAAAATCGCATGCTTAAAAATTAAAAATACTCTTTACTTGTCCATGTGTGTGTGAGTGTGCATATGATCTCTATTTGGGGTGCTGGTTTGCCTTTGAGTCATATTATGTATTGATTAGCATTTACAAATAGTTTTGGGATATGTGTTTGCCTCACTTCATATATATATATATAATTGTCCCTTGACCATTTTCTTTTTAAATCGCATTGAATAATATTTACAAATATTTTTTTTTATCTATTTCGATCCAATTTTAGTACACATTTCGAAAATTGTTTCTCTCGTTTTTTGTTTGTCATATTTTTGCCTGTTATCATTTACACACCATTATTTATTTCCTGTGACGACGTCGTTCAAATGAATATTTACATACGACTTATCTACCTTTAAACACCTTGTCAATATTGTTGTGATTGATGTGAATATTGGCTACTTTGTTGTCTCTGTAGCTGTGCAAGCAGCGCAGGCGTTTGCATTCCCAATCCTTGCGTTTGCTGATATATGAATAGAGTTTAATAAAGTTAGTTTATAGTTTGCACTTTGACATGTTCATCAAAAATGACTTTACCTGTGGCTGCTGTTGTTGTTGAGGTTGTTGATTGAAATTTCCTCCCATCATACCTATGTATAATGCACACACATAAATTCAATAAGTTTCCCAATGTAAAAATGTCCGGAATATATTTTTTGTTACCTTGTTGCTGTTGTTGTTGTTGCTGTTGCTGTTGCTGCTGCTGTTGCTGTTGCTGCTGTTGCAAGAGCATTTGTTGTCTGAATCGTTGCTGTTGTTGCAATTGCGCTTGGGTTTGTTGTAGGCTGGTCAACGGTTTTCCGCCTGGTCCCATGCCACTCATATTCATGTTTGGATTGCCTGCATTCATATTGTTGGCAGCATTCATATTTGGATTTCGATAGGGTGGTGCGGGACCTTGAGGTGTTTGATTCATACCCATATTTGGTGGAAATTGTCCCATACTTCTAGCTCGTTGCTGAGCCATCAGTTCGGCACGTTGTGCGGCGGTCATTTGATGCAAATTATTCATATTTACATTTCCTTGAGTCGTTTGCTGTTGTTGACCTTGCGATTGGTTTAAGCTTTGTTGAAGCGTTTGTTGCATTGATGGATTTAGCATTTGATTTTGACTTTGTTGTTGATTCTGTTGCTGTAATAATTCCATGAAAAATGTGGTTGTAAATAAATCTGAATGATAATTTTGTCGATTCAATTGTACCTGTCTTTGTTGTGCCATCGCACCAGCACCGGCAAACATATTATTGCCGCCGATTTGCTGTTGATTCTGTTTCATTTGTTGTAGCGCATTTATATTGCCGGCACCCATTCCTTGGTTCATCATCATTTGATTTGGATTTTGGTTTTGTTGTCGTTGCGCCAACGTTTGATTTGGACCCATTCCCATTGTGGCGGTATTTTGTTGAGCCAATCCACCCACCGATTGATTCATCATTGAATTGGCCGATGTTGATGGCAAATTCGCCGCGTTTGCGTTGGCCATCATGTTACCACCTGAAATCGAAACAAAATACCAATGTAAAATACCATCAAAATAGTCACATTTCAATATTACATTTACCTGGCATCATAGCGGCCTGTTGTGTTTGTGACGGTTGATTTCCTTGGCCATGCATCGGTCCTTGCATATTGATTTGATTGGCTTGTTGCTGCTGTAAAACGATTCAATTTAAAAAAGACACACACATTTAAAAATGTAAATAGAATCTACCTGTCGCTGTTGAACCATTCCGCCGCCGCTCATCATTGGATTTCCAATGTTATTGATTTGATTTGATGCAGCTGCGGCTTGCATTTGCGCTGGATTAACATTTCTCATGGCTGCCGATCTCATGATCTGTTGACGCTGTTGTTGAATATTGAATGGTAAACCGCCGCTCATATTGGCCGCCTGCTGTGGATTGCTGGCAGCATTCATGAACGAAGATGGATGCCGTTGCCGTAACATCATCGACAATGCTTGTTTCGATTGATTATTTACTTGTGGTCGTTCGAACCGATTCATTCCACTTTGATTGAAGAATTGTTGCGATTGTGATGTAGTTGCCGTTTGATTTTGACTTGATGTAGCTTGTTGTTGTGGTTGCTGCTGTTGTTGCATTTGATTGAAATTCCATTGTTGTTGTTGCTGTTGTTGTGGCCCAGCTATTTGTTGACCATGTGTAGATATGCCTTGTGTTTGGTTTATATTCTGTGCTTGATTCTGCATCGGATTATTCTGCATTGGATTGTTTTGGATTGAACTATTTGGTTGATTTTGTTTGATGCTCGACTCCATTTGTTGCTGTTGCTGTTGTTGTTGCTGTTGTTGCACCAGCTGACTGAGCTGCTGTTGTCTTTGAGCCTGAGCCTGTGCCTGAGCCTGTGCCTGAGCTTGACTTAGTTGTTGCACATTTGGCTGTGATTGCGGTTGTGGATTGACTGCTTGGGGTACTTGCTGTTGTTGTTGTTGCTGCTGCTGTTGTGCCATCACACCACCTAAAAAATGAAATCATTTTTTTAAACAAAAATTCAACATTATGACCGCTGCATTGGTACACCTACCGCTATTTATCATTGATTGCATATTTCCAGAATTGAATGGCATTCCGCCGGCGTTCATGTTCTGTTGCAAATTTGCCTGGTTTATCATTGAACCATTCACATTGCCAGCAACCGTTGGATTTCGTATATTGCCCGTTTGTCCAACAACGTTCGATGTGCTGCTTTGAATTTGCTGCATCTGAATCGAAATAAATACAAATATTAATATTACGAATATGAATAAACAAACAATTAGCTATTATTTACCTGTTGTTGCTGTTGACTTGCTTGTATTTGTTGAAATTGTTGTTGATTGGCTTGCATTTGCGGATTTAATTGATTCTGGTAAATAAAAAAAATGTGTTAGGCATAATTTAAACACTTGTGTAAATAACGTCAAACATACCTGCATGTTCATTTGAATTTGGTTTAAATTTTGTGAATTCATTTGAGCATTATTGTTCATCTGGCTCATTTGATTGTTCATTTGGCCTCCCATTTGATTTACCATGGCCATTTGATTAGGCTGTTGTTGATTTTGTGGTTGATTCATGCTTTGTTGGAGCTGTTGTTGTATGGCCGGGTTGATAATTTGATTTTGATTCGGTTGTTGTGATGATTGCTGTTGTGGCTGTTGCTGCTGTTGAACTTGCTGTTGTTGCTAAAAATAAAATAAACCACATTGTTAACCAAATTTACACAAAAAATATGTCGAAAAATAACAAAAAAAAAAATATTTGACATTGAAAAAAGGTCATCGACACGTCGACAGGTACCGCGGAAGTGTGGGCACTTTTCTTGTATTCAGGTGCACCACTTGAAAAGATTTCATGTGTAATAAGGTTTAAATAGTTGTGATTGTATACCTGTTGTTGTTGTTGTTGTTGTTGTTGTTGTTGCTGCTGCTGCTGTTGCGCTTGCTGTTGTTGTTGCATCAAAAATGCGAATTGTTGCTGTGTATTTTGTTGCTGGTTGGCCATCGGATTGCCAGGATTGTTATTGTTACCAGTTGGAACACCCGGCACAACTTGGTTCATATTGCCCTTTGCCTGAATTGGAAAACCACTTTGTTGTTGATTTTGCTGAATAAACTGTTGCATTTGTTCGGTTTGCTGATTTTGCATTTGTTGTTGTGCCTATAAATGTGGCATAATAATTGTATAATGTTAAGCTCAAATTGAAAATGGAGTCAAGTATCTTCTAAGAATTATGCGAACCTGGAGTTGTGCGGCTGCTTCGGCAGCGGCCGCAGCAGCTGCGGCTTTTGATTGTTTTTTGGTTTGACGTTTTCCCTGCGGCTGTGGCATCACTTGCAGCGGTGGCGCCTGGACAATCGGAATAATTGGTGTTTGCTCAATCGATGTGGGAGTATCAATTTTCGGAATATCCTGTTAAAAAAATGTGATTTTAAAAAAATTTAGTCTAAATCGAAAAGTATTCAAATGACATACCATTGGCATTGAAGCCATTGAGGTGCTTGGCATATTGTTCATGTTCATCACAAGATTTGAATCATCGGTTGGTAAGGTTGACGGTGGTTCTTTTACCGATATTACCAATGGTTCGTAGAAGAATGTTCTTGGTTTGGCTAGATTGTGCGTATGGTATTTCAGAAGATCATAACCTCTTTCGTATTTTAATGGGCGTCGTTCCATTTTGACTGCACCAAACCAAGCCCATGACAAAGGCGCCGGATTTTTACTATTTCCTTCAATCAAATCCCATGTGTTTACTTTTTGCTTTTCCGTTGCACGCAAGCCGGGCACTCGATCAATTAAATCGATACCTGGATATTGACTTTTCTCATTTGATTCAACCGCAATTATATGACGTGGCATTCGAACGATTGGCAACAATTGACGCACACTTTGTTTTGTTCGTGACGCTTTTTCTCCAATTTCTTTACGCACTTTTCTCACTAAATTCATAAAATGCTTCTTATTTTCGTCTCGTTCGTATGGATCATGGGCCAACGATGCATGAATTATCGTTGTCAACATGTCATAGACCGTACCGTAGAGTGTTCTGTTTGGAAATGAGTGAAATGATGAGTATGAATGGAAAATGAAGGAATGGAGAGAGAGAAAAAACACTTACTTGTTCGTTTGATAGTCGATAACTCCGTTGCACATGAGTTGTGCCAAAAGAACCGACCAATCTGTTGTTATCGTTAGGTTACGGTAAATGCCATCGAACAAGGTTCCGACCAGTGACAAACGCAAATCTAATGCTTCAATCATTTCTGGTTTTGCTTCCGGATGTGCAAAATAATTGATGTCAAACATTTTCTGTGGATTTTAAATTGTATTTTCAGAAAAACCACTTTCATAAATTGAGATTTCAAATGATTTTCTACTCACGCTTCCATCTTGAGCACATCGAACAAAATGCACCAATTGCTTGTGCAGCGAAGACAATAGAATATCACGCTGATCTTCGTGCCCTTTCAAACAATTCAAGAGCAAATTAAAGAATTCTCTGTAAGCCAATTTGGCCGGTTGTGGGTAGAAATATTCATCTTCACTGTCATCACCCTGCTGCTCGTCTTTGTTCTCACTGCCAAATCAAACAAAAGGAATAAGCTTGAAATTAAAAATCGATTTTGATGAAATCGATTTACCTTTTATTATCATTTTCATCATCTTCGTCGCTATCTTCTTCGTCCTGTTCGTCATCACTGTCTTCATCGCTATCCTCTTCCTCTTCAACGTGTCGATAAACGTTGAAAAAGTTCATTTTTTCCATAAGCTGACCGGCCACTTTGATAATTCGCGCCTGTACACTACCCGGCAATTTTGAAAGCAGTGGAATCACACACCATATCCCTGGACCATGTTCGGGAGCTTTTGGCCGTTCATTTTTCAGCGGTTTCAATTCGTCGAGTTTTGGTTTCTTTGTAGGTTTTCTATATGATGGAAAAAGGTTGTTTGAAATGTTAGTCATTTTGTCTGGAAACTGATTCCATTGGAAATGCAACACATACTTTGGTTTCTTTTGTTTTGGTGTGTAGTAAATTTCAACAGCTGATCGAGCAACAGCATCCAAATATTTATTGGTTTCGGACACAGTATTACTGGATTGTTTGTGCATTAGTTGGAGATTTATGCTTAGAATTGGCATATTCCATCGGTCCAAAATTTGAAAGAATCGTTGAATCGCTGTGCTTTGATCCATCGCATGGAGTTCCGATGCCTCATTGTCTGGGAAGCATATTAATTGTAGCAACCTCTGAGGTTGCTTCGTATTTAACTCACGATCAAATATATATTCGCATAAATTATCGGCATTTTGTAAAATTCGTTCCAACACCCATTCTTGGTGTGCAATTTGTTTTAGCACATAATCGGCAAATTCGGATAAAGAAATTGGTGTTTCTTGACTGTGATTTTTGAAGAAAAAAAGGCAAAAAATATTTTAAAATTTATCTCAAAAGGCAATTGCATGTATACATACGTTGTATCTTGCATGGAAACATCTTCGTCATTGGCATTTGTACCTAATTCGCTGGTGCCAAGTATGTGACTAATATCAATTGAACCCGTTTTTGTCGCTGGTTGGATTGAAGATTGACTTGCAGACGGTGTGGTGTCTGTTAAATCAAATCAATTGTTTTCATTTAGTTTCCATTTTATGATGCCATATTGAAAATGAATACTAAATAATGACTTTACTTACTTGCACTTGAATTTCTATTACCACGTTTGTTGGATGTTGGTTGTTTTTGATTTTCCGGATTCATTGCATCTCCAACCACTAAAATGCCTTTTAAAACGGCCAAAACTGGTCCAGCCGCCAAATTCTTATGAGCCGCAGCCAAAAAATGACGATCACAACTGAATTTCATGCTTAATTGAGGTCCGGGAATTTTTATTGGGCATTCTATCACAGGCATTCCATATAATGATGGTATGGGCAATTCAACAGATTTGCACAGTCGAAACAATAAATGACATGTCAAACGAGCACCGGCCTCGGCTCCGGCCGATATTTCACGACCCTTACAATTCACCAACGCCGGCAATACGTAAAATATTAATTTTTCTAGTGTAAAACAACGACGAGCTGCAAATCAATTGACAAACAAAAATGAATTAGCAAACGTCAAATGTTTGTGTTTTTTTTTTCTTCGGTATTATATGCGAAATCAACTTACCGACTAAAATCGAAACAAATACCGCCAACGAATTATGAATGGCAACTTTTTGTATGTCTATCTTAAGTGGTATGTGTGCATAGTAACCTTCATTGCTAGAACCACACAATGCGATGAATGCACCAATCCATTCCAAACTGAGCGAATTACAATGGGCTGTGACTTCGGCGCACATTATCGAAATGTCATTCAATCGATCATTGTCCGTTTCAAGGCTTACACGAATCAATGCATTGCACACAAAACTATATCGATTTTCGAAACTTTCGTTTATTATTCGGCCCCAGCTTGGATCGATTTTTCCACCTCGCGGTGGATTTTTAAGTATTTCACTAAAGAATCCCTCTCGATAATCAAAACATTCGGCTGGAATTGGTTTACCGGGATCCGCAACCAATTGTTTTACTTTGGCATAAATGTTGAAGAATGTTTCACTTGCCGGCGGTTTTGATTTGAGTAATGAACACGATGAATACAAATCAAGTAAATAAATTAAAATACAACGTTCAGATGATGTGCATTCACTTGGATTTGTTACATGCTTAACTGTACGACATAATCCCTCGAAAATTGGCAGTACTTGTTCATAAGATACTGAAATAGAATTTAAAAAAATTTAAATTGCAAAATAACTATTGGAATAAACAAAAACAAATACGTACATAAAAGGCATCGATGGTATCGTCGTAGCACACCCACCACATACAAGCTCAACGATGTCGTATACGTTTTCAGAAAGCTCGAATTCATTTGCATGAGCTGAGATTCAACTTGAGGCAGTTTTTTCATGATCGATATACACAAATCGATTAAACCATAGATATTGTTACAGGCTTCCATTAAATCAAATAAATATGCAACATGCTCTTGTACTGGCAAATAATTATACGATGCACTCGCAAAACTGCTTAGCATTTCGAGAATTGTTGCCGAACATTGCCATGTTACCATATGTTGATCGAAATATGTCATCGATTGAAAACGTGTCATTGTTGCTTCAAGATTGCATTCGGTTCTTGGTTGCTTCTTCACTTTACCGCCCTCATTTATATCCATGCTGAATTTCTTCGAGTACAATTTGCTAATCTCTGTAAAATTGTAAGGGTGTGTGCGTGTGAGAGAGAGAAAACACATTAATTGCAACCGCATTAATAACAAATTAAATCAATAAATATAATTTCAACCCACCTTTGGCCATCTTTTTAACGGCATGCTTCTTTTCATCTCGTTCTTTTCCCACGCCGAACAGTAAAATATACCGTTGATTGCAGTCATGTTGTGATATTGTATCGCCTTGATACAATGGAAAATGTGTGGTGTACAGATAATGTCTCGAAATTTTCGGTTGTTCGTCGTCATCTTCATCGGCAATATCTGATTTGGTACTGAAGGTCACAAAACATATAAATGAATTCATTAATTAATTCATGAATTAGTTAGTACAACAAACAATCGTAACGTAAGAGGCAGACATAAACTTACTCGTTACTTGTGCTTGATTCTATTTTTGGGCTATCCGTATTATCCATTAAGTCTTGTTGATCGTTTTTTATATTCTGTAAAATCTTATCTAAGTCATCATCGACATTGCTATCGTCTAGTTCTTCGATTTTCGGCTTGAATTCCATGGGCGGTAGAATATCGTCGCCGACACGTGAAGCGGGTGTTGTGGGTGGCAATGTTGCAATTGTTGGGGGTGGTACAGCCATTGCGTTTGAATTAACCGTTGGTGTATTTGCCATATCATTCGAATGTACGGGCAGTGTTAATAATTCACCGCGTGATATGAGCGTACACATGTAGGCGTCATGTGAAAATACATCGTGTCGAATTAATTCACAAAATAAATGTACCAAATTTGTAAATTGAATTCTACTTTGATCGGTGCAATCCTCTTCGATAACCGGTGCATCATGATCTAAAAATGCCATTAAATTGCGTTGAAAAATCGGTAGCCCATTGTAAAAGCCAACGGAATCATTTGAATCAGCATCATCGGCTGGGCTAAGCGAATCGACGGCCGTTATATCGGATTGTCGTTTTTCCAATAGCCATGCAACGATCATTGCACGATGTTCACCAAAGCGTTGATGCGAAACGGCCCATTCACATAACACCTTTACAATCGGTTCATCGATTCGAGACATGTATGTGATGCGAGTTTCCTTAATTTTGCCATTTACAAAAGTCTCCTACAATAGAAAAAAATACAAAAAAATATTGAATAAATAAATACAAAATTGTATTGTATTATTCATTCGACAATAATTTATGTACGAAATAATTTAAATTCAATGAATTTGAATTTTATTTTTTCATACCTGTTTCATCACTTTGTCAGCGGATTGAAAGAGTTTTGTGTAGAGTGACATTAAATTATTATTATTTCCATCGAGCCGATCGAAACAATGTGCATCCAATATGCTTAGTGTGCTTAGAATGACCTCATTAATTTGTCCATCGATTGTTCGGCGCAACCATTTATCGGCTACCCAACGTTTTTCGGAATGTTTTGAGCGTTCAACGATTTGTTGTTCGACTTCACGTAAACGTTTTCGTATTAAATCATTGTGACGTCGATTGTTCGATGGCATTGGTAACTGTGATGGTAAAACTGGCATATATTCCAAAGGGCCGCCGGCCAATGGTGTTATTGAGTCACGTTCTTTCCCCGATAGTCCACACCAGACCAATGCACCGGGACATCTTAGTGTTATCGCCTGAATCATTGCGCTCAATTCCATAATAACAGGTCGATGATGTTCACATAATAAAAAGTCACGCAACATTGTCTCCATAAATTGAATGGATGGTCTTTGTCGATGCTTTATCATGCCAAGTGATTGGCTTTTTGTTGAAATGGTTTGAGTAACGGGCTGTGTAGCATTTATTCCGATTGGCATGATCGATGTGGTATTTGATGAAACTGAGGGCGGTGATGCGGTTGGAGGTGAAACTTGTGGTGGTGTTTGAGATGAGCTTAGTGGTTTCGATGCAGGCGATGTCGATGAATATGGGCGAGCACCGATACTTTTCCGATCTTGATTTGTATTTGGTCGTGTTGGTAAATAATTTGAGCCGAGTAGACTTTTCGTTGATAGTACATCTTCGGGGCTATCAATGGAGGCAGTGCTAGGTGATGGTGGTGCCGATAGTGGTGGTGGTGTTGTGGGATCCATTTTGAATTTCTTATATCGTGTGCTTGCCGAACGTGTTGAAAGTGGTGCTCGAATTTCGGGTTCTTGTTTTATTTTCAGTCCTGGCTCAAGCCGATTTGTTATGTTTGTATCACAACAGGAGGTTGAAGACGATTGTGGTGGCGGTAATTTTTTCACATTAACAGCAATTGCATCCTCTTCGGTAACGTAGTGCAGCATAAAACCAATCTTTTTACAAACTAAATAGGCTAGACGTCGTGACAATCGCTCTGATTCTACAATGTATGGTAAACATTGTAAAATGAATGGTAAAAATAGTTTTAAGAATCCATCATCGCTGCTCTTATTTCGCATGCGATCAAGAAGTTCAAGAGCCCATTGCAAGAATTCATGACGATCCAAAAGGCTCTCTTCGCACATTGCCCGACATAAACGCGTACAATATTTCCAGTGTCGAAGTGTTGTGGGCAAATCATCAATGACAGGATTTGAATTGCCCGGCGTTGTTGGTACGGCCGGTGTGATGAACGTGTGATTACTTGAACTACTGCTACTACTGCTGGTGCTACTATTGCTACTGCTCGCACTCGTCGCACTTACACTCGGCGTTTCACGGCCACTTGATGAAAAATTGGAAAAACCTGTTGTACTTGTCGTTGGTGATTCAACACTTGTGTGTTGTTGTGATTGAAATGGTTGATTGGCATTTGATTTTCCGCTCAATGTTGTTTTCGAAGACGATTGATTGGAGCGATTTACGATCGAAGCGGTATTTGTCGTTGAACAACTGCCTGTACTCATCGATGGACTTGTTGATGTTTGATTTGTGCCATTTTTTCCATCGGCCTCTTCCGAATTTGTCGATTGATTGGCGATTTCCGCTGATTTTTCGTTGAGTCGTTGCTTGGCTCGATTTTTGGCACGTTTCGCAAGTAAATCAGCAATTATTTGACTAATTGAAGGCAATCCATGTCGTTTTTTCATTGCTAATCGTTTACGCACCAATTTCGATACACTACGATCTTTAGCATCAACATTGTTGACATCATCAGCACCCGCCTTAGCAGCCACTCCAGAAATATCAGATGGGTTAGTTGCCAGATCTGGATTCGGATTACCATCGCTTGTACCCGGTTGCTGTGATTGTTGCACAAGTGTGGATTCACGTTTGATTCGTGATGCCGCTTTCATTCTCGCCACTCGCAATGTGTGCTTTGCCCGTTTTGCTGGCGGTGGACCAAGCATTGATGCTTTTCGCTTCGTTAATTTCAATTCGCGAAATCGAATGTCTTTCATTAAGGATCTATTCAGCACTTTTTCACGTAAACTCTTCGCTTTTGCTGTGGGTTTGCCGTCGGCCGCTAGTGATTTATCTTTATTAATCATCGCACTTTTGTCTTTTGTACACTTAATTGGCGTTAATTGTTTATCAATTGAGCATCGATTGCATTTTACATTGTTTAATGTTCCGCATGTGATTGCCGCTTGTTGTGTATTTATCACTTTTGGATTTTTCTCTAATGTATAATGTTCAACGAGTTTTTGTGACAAATCTTTCATGACTCGTATCACGGTTGCGGTCCATTCGATGCTTGGATCAGGCATTTGGCGTTTTTTGATTTTTTGTTCAGTCACTGTGGTTGTGTATGCGGCACTTAATTTTAAAAACCACATCGCCTTTTTCATGCTCACTTGATGATCACATAAATAGGTGAATATCTCCTCTTTTTTATTGAATGATGGTGCCTTTTTAGCGAGATTTTGCAATGGTTTGGTGCCGGCTAAATCACGAAACCACGTATCAAGCAATCCCTTGCTACGGCCTGTTACCGCAGGCCAAAAATTATCCTTTACATTGATCGGTTGTTTCTTTCGGCCATTATCCGGTAACGTATTCAATTCATTACGTTTAGCTAGAGTATCGTTGATGAAAAGAAGAAGAAGAAGAAGAAGAAACAAAACAAAAACGAATAAGAGAAACGACATTGAAAAAAATGTCACAAAAAAAACTTACAATTGACCGAAATGCAGAACATATTGAGTCGCTGCAACGAGATGTTACTGTTGCGCGCTGTTCCGAATTCTTCGGTAATTTGTTGTAGAGCTTGAAATCCATTTTTCACGTTGCTCGGATTCAGTTCATCCTCACGTTGTTTTGGCTCTTGTGGATAAACGTCCGGCACACCAAATCGAGGCCGTTTTAATGGCCTCGGCTCTGGTGCAATGTGATTGTATAACATTTTCGGTGTGTTTATACTTTATCCAGACATTCATGAAAACTTTGTGGTTCTCCCCTTCTGTTCACTTGGTTGTTGTTTTTTTTTTTTCGTTTGTTTTCGACTCGATTTTATATTTGTTTCGAGTTTCGATTTGCATTCGCTACAGGAAAAAAAAAATTAACACGCAACTTTATAAATTATGCACATTTCTTCGGTTCGATTATTATTCAATTTATACAAAAATGCATCATATAGAGAACAGACATTTAAATTTTTTTTTCTATTGGTAAACTCGCGGTGGCGACGAACAAGCGCAAACGGAATGAAATCGAGCACAAAATAAAATTAAAAAATATACATACTATATAAAACTAAAGAAGAGACAAGAAGAAAACTTTCAATCAATGCTTTTGCTATAGTGTTATTGTTGTTGCTTTTATACGGTCACTGTTAGCCTATTTGTATGGCTTGTTGCAGCAACATTCTCATATATTCTCATATACAACACGTACACAAACTAACCCGAAAATATATAGCTTGCTATGCGTCGTTCTCTCTTTCTAAATTTGTATATCCATGTGAGTTGATTATGCCTCTGTTTCGTTTTACTTCATCATCACCATTCTTCTTCTTTTTCGTTATTTTTTTATTTTGCACACAAACATTTGATTTTCGTATTAGTTTACACAAACACACAAACAGTGATATATATATATAATATATATACAACTATATTGCCGTCGGTTGGAGTCTCTCAATTTGCGAAGAAAAATAAAATTTGTTTAGCTTTTCATAAGAAACACCGATGATTCGCCATACACACTTTCGATATGGGCTCCGAATTCCACTGCAAAATAGAAAAAAATGCACTTTGATTATAATCAAACTATAATTCACCGTCACACAAATTGGAGCATCTATATCTGATTCACATTCAAATGCATGCAAAAATGCTTATTGATTGAACACGATAATAAATAATTTTCAAGTTCAACTTGATCATCTGAGAAATGGCTGCGATTTTTTTGTCATTGTCGTTGTTGTTATTTTATTAAATTTATTTCGTTGAGGGGATTTATTTGTTTATGTGTCATAAAGCTATACACTGAATTGTGAATAAGCTTTTCTGTATTTTCAAGCATATAATTTCACGTTTTAAGTTGGCTATATACAACCATAAATCAACCATCTGTGCGACGCATACGATAGTTGTAATCAAAAGACGGAGAATATGAGGAGAAAGAAAGAGCAGAAAAATAAATAGGTAAAAAAACGAATGTAGTTTTACATTGAAACGTATGTAATATTGTCACTACTTTTGTTGCACCAGCGTTTTGACTTAGAGAGAAAGAGAAGGAGAGAAAAAACTTCATTGGCGATTCTTTCAATTTCTTTTGCTTGGAACATTTTATATGGAACCTTTTTATTTGATTTTGCTTTTGACGTATTTTTTTTTTTACTTTCATGTCACGAAGATCATATCAACAGCATACAAAAAAATAATAACTTTCGATACACACACGCACAATAGCACATACGGTGCCAATCAAAAAATAATAACTCTCCGTCACTGTTCGATCTCATACGACGTAAGAAAAAAAATGCACACACACACTCAAACTGTTTTAAAACGAAACAATTGTATGCATTATTTTGATAGCTTCCATATTTTTGTTATTGAATCAGTTTTTTTTTGCTAAATAAAACTCAAACACTATTAGGTTGAGCATTTGATTTGTGTTGCACAAACAATTTCATGGCTATTTTACACTATTCTCATCTCAGGTGCACAATCGCATGAAATGCAAATGCCATTTGCAAATGAATCGCGTACTTACGCACCACTTTCAAAATTGATCAACGCAACAACAAAACGAAATAAACTACATAGAAAATGAGTAAGACGAAAAATTGACACACGAAATTCCCATTTAAAACAGTTTTTCAGTGCTTTCAATTACATTTGTATTGCATTCCTCACATTTGCCTTTCAGATCGGCCGATTTATCAGCTTACATTTGCACCAAACGAAAATTTCTTGATTTGTACTAAAATTAATTACACTTTGAAATTGCAAAACGAATCTATATACCATGAAATCAACAAAAAATTTAACAGTTTTTCATATATACACACACTAAATGTCGACAGAATTGGAAGTTAATAATCTGTCAGCCATTTTTCGCGTTATTTCGTTTTTTCTTCTTTCATTAGTTCGATGTTTTTTTTTATGTATGTTACTGTTCTCTTGTAATTCGCTCGAATCGTGTGTCTATGTATGGTGAAGTATTTTTCATTCTGTTGTGCCGTCATTCGCATTCAATGGATTGGCTCCCGTTGTGATGCTGACTCTATATGCTGTGCATGTAGTTGTGTATATGCGTAATGAAAACACAAATGTCAAAATACCAATTTTAGTGAACGATTCAAGGCGAATTCACGCACACCAACAACCATGTCAGTCAGTTTTATACATTTGGCTCTTTTCCATTTTGCTCATCTTATTGTGTGTGTGCGTGTGTGTGAATTCATGTGTGTACGTGCGTGTGTGTTGATGCATGTTTCGATGTGCGTTAGTTTTCAAACATATCGTCTCGTCGCGGAAGAGAGAGAGAGAGCGCAATCCCATTCAAATCAAATGTCAATGTATTTTGAGTGGAGTTTGTGTGTCGTTGATTGTTGTTTTTTTCTCCTTTCTTTTCGGTTATTCGCTTCATTCTTTATATTGTTTATCTTCTTTTTTTTCTCTTCTTTCATCGATGGCATTGTGTATGCATTTCATGGCTTTCAACTCACCGTTAACCAGCTTCTTTACTTGTACACAACATTTTTGTGTCGAACAAATGTTAATATGTGATAGTGTAATTCTTTTTTGGGTTCTTTTTCTCTCTTCTCCATATCTTCTTCACATTGTTATGTTTTTTTTTGTTGAGCAGTCCAAACGAGACTTCATTTTATGATTTTCAGCATACATGACTTGGTCGGTTGACCGATACTCGTCTTCAGTGAATACGCTTCACTTGTAGGCAAGTTTTGAAATTGGCAAAAATTCAACATTTATTTTATTTTTTGTTGTCTGCCATTCACTCAGACATTACAACGACAACATACGATGAGAGAGCCATGCATATCAACGACATCCAAATTTCGTCAAGCAGCCAACTAATGTTGAACTCAATGTTGACCTCTGCTATTTCTTGATTCACATTTTTTTTTGCGCAAAACTCCAGGCCATTGTTTTTGAGGTGCGTGGGAAGCGTAACGTTGTGAGCATCTATTTTTAAGAAATCAACGTAATTAAATCAAATCATTTCGAGAAATCGTACACACATCAGCTCATTTTCAATGCGAAAACCCATTTTATAACAATCCGTTCAGATTATGAATTTCAATTTCAGAGTATGAATTGTAAGGTGATCGGTCGAACATTTCTCGCATAATTCTAGAGTGCGTTTTTCCGAAATACCAGAAATATTTTTCATTCATTATTTGTTTCAACACTAGAGAGTTCATTGAAACGACTTCTGTGTTTCAAATGCTCACACAAAAGGTGACACATTCTGTTCAATGCACCCTGTATACACACATACACACATCGAAACAAACAACGAAATAAATGACATTTCGAATTCACCACATTTCTCCACGCAGCGAAATACATTCGAATTATGGTTGTAGAAAAAAAAAACATTGTATTTGTGGAAGAGAAGAATTCATGTTTGACATTTGAAAATAACAAAAGAAACGGCGATCATTGTTTACAAACGAATTGGCTGTTAAATTGTTTAACCTCAAATGTCAGATGCATCAAATGGTGAACACAGATATCGCGCTAAAATCCACGACACTGTCATAACATTTCATTAAATTGTTTTATCGCAAAACGCTTAATTTTTTTTTAAAACGAAAATTCAAGTGTGCAAAATGTCAGAGAATATTGCCGAAGACGATTACCAACTAAGCGATGATGATGAAGAACCAATTACGGCACAAAAGGTATTTTGTAAATTTTATTTGTTCACGGATTAAAGGACTGCAAAGGGAATATTTATTTTCTGGTTTTAATTTTAGGTGTTGGAAAATGTGCAAAATACATGGTTAAATGAGAAATTTGCGCCCGAATTGTTGCCACATCAAACGGATATGCTGGATTTGATGCTTGGCCAGGTTGAACACATGGAAGGAAATATATCGGAACTTGATAAATATGATTTTCGATATGTTGCTCATCGAATCGAATTGGAGCGGATCAAATACATTGTGACGAATTATTTAAAGTGTCGAATCAGAAAGATTGAAACATTTACTCGTTCAATTTTGGAAGAGGATAACCAGCGACCGAACAACAAAAAACGTTTATCGAATGAAGAGCGTCAGTATGCCGAAGCACATATGGCATTGATTAAAAAGCATTTTCATCAAATTGCTATTCAACATATGCCAGCTAATTTGCAAGAAGAGAAAGCCGATGAAATTGTAAAACCCAATTTGATGTCGCACATATTCCTACGCGCCATTGAATCAGTGCCATCGGTCGTTGTTGGCATGAACGATGAAGAAGTTGATTTGGAAGCCGGCTCTTTGCACATTATGCCATATAAACTTGCTTCCGACCTGTTACTCGATGAAAAAATTCAATTAATTTAATATTCAATATTTTTAAGTCAGCAGTTTTAAAAATTTGTGAAAAAAAAATTCCACTAGAATCAAAAAATAAAGGTGCTGCTACCATTTGATTAATAAACAAAAAAGACTCCAGACAAATAAATGCATTTAATTGAAAAAATAAATTTTTAAATTGAAATCCTGTCTAAACGCAGCCAATTTGAATTGGTAGCCACTCAAACTGTTGCTCGAACAAACATCGGGCAACACTATATTTGCAATTCAACTCATGAGCATCAAAACGCAATAAATATGCTGCGATGATGAGTGTAAGTGAGATGGCGATGTTGAAATGTTACGGCGAAATGAAATACAACAACTAAACATTTCTTTGAAATATAATATTCGGATGAGGCGAAACAGAAATACATGAAGCGTATGCTAAGACAACGTAAGCGAAAAAGAGATGAAAACAAATTGTGCACAGCGAATAGGAAAAAAAAACAACAATTCACAAAGAAATAATAGATTATTGTCCGCCATTACGAATACGTCTGCCGCAAAACGACGACGATAAACGGAAAAATTCTGAATTGTTTCAAGTGTTGTGTGCTATAAAAATTGAACTGATTTGCCGCAAAATCGAAGCAAAGACTTTTCAAAATACAATCAATTGAAAAATTTATTGTGAACAGTTTCTGTGTAAATGTGAGTTTGACCTGCGAAACAAAAAGTGATTTTAGCGAGAGAGAGAAAAATTGATTGGTGTTGGCGATTCTGGGTTTGCGAGTGGACAGAAAAAAAAGTTTTTTCTTCTTATGATGTGTGAATGAATAAGGCACCCGCAGACAAAAGATCCCAACAAGACGAATAACGCAATCAATTCAAATGCGAATGAGACGAGAAAAAACGAAGCGAGAAGCACACATCACAAGCGACAATTCACTCAACAATCTCATCAATTAATGCAACTCAATTTTGCCATTTTTATTTGACATTGTTGTTGTTGTTGGTCGCTTTTGTTTATATGTCGATGTTTTCTTGATGCGTGTTTCTCATCGCTTCTTTTTCTTTCGCTCGAATTAATCGCAATACATGCATGGTTATCGATTGATCATCATCAATCTCTATTTTGATGCAACCAAACATAAAATTAATGCTCTTTTTTTTCTATTGTTACAGTTCAGTGTTTCAGTTACACACAAGCCGAACAAAATTAAAATTCACGAAAAGATAAAAAGAAACATCTCAAAAACCAAACGGGAAAAAGTTTTTCGTTTGATTATTCTTGTGCAAAGTATAAGAAGACGAGAATCGAAAATTAAAATTGAATATCCCAATTGGGTGAGACTGTGTAACCGAGCGCCAAATAGACAATTCGGTGGTACACAAATCGTGCAAAGTGCATAGCACTCGACATAAAACAGTGTTTGTTTCAAACAGTAACAAAGTTCAGTATTTCAATCGAATTGAAATTGTTCTTTTTTAGTTTGTTTCATTTTATTTTCGGTTTGTCATTTATTTTGTGGGTGAAACAGACTTGATATTGCTGTGCAATTGTGACAGTACAGTTTGTACTGAACAAATACAACAACAACAACAAGTTTTAAAAAGACACATCAAAAAGTGTATGTGTGTGTGTAAGTGACGCTCTGACAAATCACAAGTGCAAATTTCAAGCGCACAACAACCAAGACATACACGTCGAACTATACACGTCCACTCAAGAGCAACAACAACAAACAAAAATACGAAAACAGAAAAGAAAAACATCTGAAGAAACATTACAGTTGTACAAATTATTTCTTTAAAAAAAAGCGATAAAAAAAGACTTTACACTTCTTTGAATTAAATAAAGTACACCGCGGTATAAAAAAGTTTTAGCCAATGTCTACTGGTATATCGGATCAGGTAGGATTTTTTTGTTAGCATTCAGTGCCAATCCTATTTCATTCTCTTGCTACGCAATTAGATGCTTGTTATCACATTTTCAAATGTGTATCGTTGTAAATATTTCGACGAATGTCGTCGTTTTTTTGGCAAACAAATAACATTCGATTGTGTTTATTCTTGCCACTGCGACTTACAAAACAATCCATTCATAACATCAGTGCTCTGGCAACAGTTGATTTGCTCATTTTGTGTTTCTTTCAACATTCGTTCATTGTATTTCCTTAAATTAATCTGATGCATTGATATTTTCATTTTAAATTTTTATCGTTCGTTAGACGGCATCTGCTCTTTAGAAAAATGCAATGAAAAATACAACAAATAGTGTGATTGTGTATCATCCAATTAGCCATATTAATATTCATTTCTTTTTCTCTTTTTTAGCGAATGAAAGGACAAGGTAACCAAGGTGAGTGTACATTTCATTTTCAATAGAAATTAGCTGATATTATTTCGTGAGAATGAATAATAAATTGAAAATTGTATGAAATGATAGAAAATTTCTATTCGAAATTAAGTTGAAAAGAGACGCTTCGGTCACGTTTTGCGAGAGACAAAAGCGAACAAAAAAGGTAGTGCAATACAATATCTCAGAATGCAATCTTATACATATGAAAAGAAAAAAAAAACACATCCATTCGTTTTAATCTATCAATGTGCATGAAGTGCATCTGCATTACAGAGAAATAAATAACGTAGCGTCGTCGGTTGATAGGTGTGCGTGTGTTGGTCTCTCTCAATTTGCCTGATATGCCATTACAAATGGAATTTTGCAGTCAATGTACTCTGATCAGTACTAACATTCAAAGTACACAGCATCTATCAAGTGAACGAATAGTATTCACAATAACGGCAACAACGACACATAACTAACATCGAGACAACATCGACGAAGGATTTTTTTTTCGTTGTTTGTGAATTGAACGCGTTCTTACAGGCAAAAGCATGAACTCAAGCGATGTGTTCGTGAGTGTATGTGATGCGAACAAGCCCTACGCTGCGCATAGATAAGCAAGGTATTTCGCTTCAGCAATGTGACGTCACGATCACTAGGTACGATCGCTAAGTTGAACAAGCAGCAAACCGTACCAACAAATTACTCATCGACCGCACACCGCATAGATTCCCAGCAAATAACGTGAACGGGTCAACAATCTATTTTTTGTACTCTCTCGATCTTCTCTCGCTTTGTTCGTGCGTCTTCTCATTTTTTCCGGATCTTTTTTCGCAACGTTTCTTTTTCTCTATATGTAATCATTTTAATTTTCCTCCATTCATCGGTTTGCACGTTGAATTCCAATTACTCGATCAGAAGCTGGTAACATGTATTCGTCGTTTGCTTTACATCATACAAATAATCTCTTTTATTGTGTATTGCATTTCACTAGAAAAATATTAGAGAACTAACTGTAAAACGAACGAACTTTTGAAATCTTCTCATTTTGAAGGCAGACTGCAAAACACATGTATGATGGAATTTTTTAAAATTAACTTTTTTTCTTGCTCATCTAAAATGTGTCTACAAAATGTATGAATTTTGTGTGTCACCAACCAGACGGCTTCGATATTAAAATGAAACGGTAGCCTCGTTTATAAACAAAAAACAGAAAAATATTTTCTGGAAATTTTCCATTTAAGACCGAAAATGATTCATTTGTTTATAGTCATGAATGGAATATTTTTTTTTGTCGGCATGATAATTTCAATAAATTTTATCGATCGTTTCATATGTTGCGAAATAGGCTAAACAAAATATATTTAGAATTTTACCACGAATCTAATTTATTGCTTGTTATTTTCTTATGATGTTTATCTTTATGAACTAAATATAAAACAAATCTTTCATACACATTTTTTTTTTTGGTATGGTTCATTTTTCTTGAATTGCGATAAAAAAACGATTGTACATTTATTCCGCGTATAGGAATGTTTGGTCCATCATTCGGTCAGCAATCATCATACAATTATTTTCCAAACAATGGGGAAAATTATAGTAAAAATGCATGGGATTCGCAACAAGTAAACGGTGGATCGCGTCGTGGTCATGATGATTACAATCGTGGATATGATAAGCAACGTTCATACGGAAATGATGGCATTAAAGTGAGTGTGCGATGTGATTTGTTTGCCGTTTATTTTCGATGATGGGTTTTACGAATGTGAATTTTTTTTGGAATTCTAGTCAATTGAGCATGGAGTACAAGGAATGGGATTGGACGGTGGAAATCAGCGTGATTCATACTCAGCAAAGACAAACAGCCAATCGAACACAGCATCGTCGGCACAACCGAAGAAAACAACATGGGCGAGCATCGCATCACAACCGGTTAAGTCTTCGCAAACACGCATTTCATCGACTTTGAAGAAGAAACCGGGAATGCCGTCACACATTAAAGTTCCACCACCACCAATGATTCCAGGCAAAATTAACTTGGATGTTGGTAAGATAAAACAAAACATGTCCGACTGTTTTTACATTTGAATATACGATTTTATGTGAACACTATTTTGTGTGGGTTTTGATGTAGGATTAGAATCAGAAAAGAATGGTGCATTAGTTCCACCGCCAGTTCCATCACCACCACCGGTCAATGATGAGCCATCACCATTTCAACAATTTCCAACCAAAAACCATAATGCAAATAATAATTCATCAAACAACAACTCAGAGCAATTTCCAGCTCCATCCAATCGAAACGAGTATCGCGACGATCGTAGTGGTCCCATGAATCGTGACAGAGATGGCCCACCAATGAACCGTGACCGCGATCAACGCGATCGAGATGGTGGTTGGCATCGACGTGACAATGGATATTATCCACAAAATCGTTATCAACCACGCTCAAATTATGGGCCTCCAAATCATGACAGACAGATGAACTATCAGGTACGTACAACATTTGAATTTTGAATTGTGACAATTGAATGATCATTTGTTATCGTTTTCAGGAAAATCGAAACTATCAACCACGGCCACATTATCGCTCATCACCACCACATAATCAGTACTATGGTCCGAGTCGCAATGAGAATGCACAAGAACCACCCCATCCAGCATCAAAGGCTGAATCAGAGGCCCAAAAGCCACCGAAATCTGACGAATGTCCACCAGCGGCTATTGAAAAAGTCTTGGACAAAAATAACTACAATCCACCTGAATTGGATACTGAGATCTTGGATAAAGCAAGGTAAACAAACCTTTTTTTTTTGCTTTTTCAATTGAATATTTGAATTTGTTTCAATTTTAATACTAATATTCAATGTATTCGCCAATATTTTTGGTGTACAGATTTTTCGTTATAAAATCATACTCTGAAGATGATATTCATCGCAGTATCAAGTATGAAATTTGGTGTTCAACCGAACATGGTAACAAACGTTTGGATCAAGCCTTCCGTGATGCAGAAAATGACGATGGTGTGATCTATTTGCTATTTTCGGTAAATGGTTCGGGTCATTTTTGTGGAGTGGCACAAATGACCAGTGCCGTTGATTATAATTCGGTGTCATCCGTTTGGCATCAAGACAAATGGAAGGGAAAATTTTCATTGAAATGGATCTATGTAAAAGACGTACCGAATTCACAATTGCGTCACATTCGCTTGGAAAACAATGAAAATAAATCGGTCACCAATTCGCGTGATACACAAGAAGTACCGAATCCCAAAGGGCAACAAGTTATGCAAATCATTCATACGTTCGTGCACACAACTTCGATCTTTGATGACATTGAGTTCTATGAACAGCGTCAAGTCGAAGAAGACACTAAACGTGTTGACATACCGCCGCCATCGCTGCATGACAATGATGAACGTGGCCCACCAAAGCGTGTATTCCATCGCAATGATGGAAATTATCGTGATGGTGGTGGTGAGCGTGGAGGATACGATGGAGGTTATCGTCCCAATAACCGAAACCATGGTATATTTAACAACATTCTTTGTTTTTTTTTTGGTTTGAATTGAAAATGAAATACAATTATTTGGTTTGAAATCAGGTAACTATTCACGTGATCAGGGCAACAATCGTGGATATCATAATTCGTATGATAATCGACGTGGTGGAGATGAATTTTCACGCAACTATGATCGACCACCACAAAACCGTGACTACAATCGTGGACGTGACGGTGGTCAAGGTGGTGGATTTATGAGCCGTGACCGCGGCGATAGAGATAATAATCGATTTGATTATCGTGTAAGTACTTAACAAATCTATTTTCCATGAAATTAACACAATTCGACCAAATCATGTGGTATTAAAAAATTTTTGTTCCAAATTTAAGGATCGCATGGATCGAAATGATGATCATCATTCAGGAGGTTTTAAGCGTAATTATTCGAATAATTTTGGAAATCGTGGTTCAAATGGGCCAAACTCAAACTATCGCAATGATCGCCATGATCGTAATGAGCGCATTGAACGCAGTGACCGCATGATTGAACGTCGTGAACATGATTCATCAGATCATGATGAACGTAACTGAGCCAATTAAATCATCAAACTGAGTGCAAGAACTGATTTATGAAGAAGAAATTAAATAGAAAAAGGAATTCAAACCGAAAAAAATGATCAATTACAATTGTATTCATATATTTTATTTTATCGTCGATACGATTTTGTGTGAATGAACATTGAATTCAACAGCAAAAATCGATCTAAAAAATTAAAGAAACAGTGAGCAAAAAAATGCAAATGAACAGTAAATCGTAATCAAAGTGAATTAAAAATAAAGTACTCACCTTCAATCATTTAACGTAAAGTAATCAAAAGCGTGAAAAAAAACAAAAAAAAAAATAAATAAAAATTTAACAAATAAATGTATCGATTTAAAAAAAAATGGACCTTTTAATACAAAGTAAAATCATTAAAATAACCTTATTCCAATAAGTTCCAACCAAGAATATTCACACAGACTTTAAATTTCTCGAAAAAGAGAGTCTAGAAACAAAATCCACCTCAAAAAAAGACAAAAAAACACAAAAAAATGATACAATAAAACAATTTAAAAAAAATACAAGTTTCCGCTAAAAAAATATCATTGCAGTTGAACTATTAAAAAAAACGATCAAACTTGAAACAAACTGTTGAACAATTCAATCATCGCATGTAGAAGCCAATAAAAGAAAGAAAAAAAATCCAACAAAATAGGCAAAACGAACATTTATAATATTTGAATGAAAAAAATTCAAAATAATGTGTGCGTGAAAATATAATTGCGTTTATTTGTGCGTGTAATTTGAGTTTTGAAACCAATATTAAATGGTGTGTACACGTAACGTGCTCTAATATTGCAACCCGTTTTTTTTTTAAAAGAATAGATGTGCTTTATTTTTTCAATTTCTTCGACACATGCGAAAAAATCTACGAAATTCACCAGCATCGTCCCTTGTCTTGGCTCAAAATAGAGAAAAAAGATAAAAATATTAACTAATAAAACTCATTATCACATACATCTATCTATCTATCTATCCAACATTTTTTTTAAACACAATACAGCAACATCAATACTAGCCAGCGAATCATTTAACTCGCAATCTGTAGATGCCGAAGCAGCTCAATTATTTAAAAAAGAAACCACCACCACTAGTTTCAAATGTACACACTTTATTTCAAAACAATTTAAGACATGATTCAACAACAAAAGATTTGTTATGAGATCAATTGTCACCTTCCTTTTCGATTCAAGAATTCTAATATATGTAGAACGTTCAATAAAATACTAAATGAAAACATTAAACAAACAACATGAAATTACACATGCAACTTATGGAATGAACATGAAAATACAACAACAAATTTAGATAAATATTAATTATATTACTACTACTCGTAAGAATTTATAAATTTAAAAACAATTTTAAAGAAAAATTATATACAAATCTTCGAATGGAGAAAATGCAACAACAAATAGATTCAATCAAGAAACAAATGATAAATAAAATATATTGCAAACAACATATTGATGGTTTTACTTTTACAAAATATATATAAATATTTATCTTTGTTCTTATTTGCAAAAGGTTTGTAAACAGTTTTGTTAAGGACACAAGGAACAACAACAACAGCATCTATGCGTAAACAATGTAGGTAACAAAATATATAATATAATATACGCACAATTTATTAACGATTGGCTGTAAATAGGCTTTTTTCGCGAACAAAGAATTTTTCCATCGATGACTCATTTTTTTACAATACTATCTCACATATTGAAAAAAAAATCCATTCTTTTCAAAAATAAATTCTATTGAATTTGCATATGACAGGTAAAATACAGATTTATTTATTCCGGATAAGATGAGATATTTCTGGTCAATTAAAATAATCTTATCAAGCTGAACAAAGTAGATATTTAGATAAGAATGAAGAAAATAAAATGGGCGGAAGAGCAAAATATTTGCATGACTGCAAAAAAGCACTTTTAAGGCTTATCAAACACCATTCCTTAAAACAAATAACAAATGAACTCATCGAGGTGAGATATTTCAGGCAGATTTGCTCTTGAGAAGACCTAAAAACGTGCCATTTTTTAGAAATAGCGGAAAATATCGAGCTAAAAAAGTATTATTTCTGAGATTGAGTACATTTCAAATTTCCTCGAAAGATTCTGACAAAAAAGCGTGTGTTTCATGTTCAATCTAATTGTTGAGGGTTTCATTTATCATCGCTTATTTTATTTTGCACCGTTGGGGTTACTTGTTTTACAAAAATAGTCATAAGCAATTGAAACCAGCAAGATAAGCGATTATTGTGTGCACGAAATGCAGGTGTGATTGTTGGTGTATCGTGTCACATTAAATCAAATTACATAAGCGGCGTAGTAATATTAACAAAATAAAACAAAACACACACACACACATGATACAATTTCTAGAAAACCCCAAAAGTGAAATGTGGCGATTTGAACTTTCTCCGAATGAAAAACATATTTAAAATTAGCACACTTTGGCATAGATCGTAGATTATAATACTAAACCTATGTGCGGTATGGCACGAACTTGCTATCGAACTGGCCATATCAAAAAAAGAATATCTGATGCATGAACATTACTCATAATTTATGTAAGGAAAAAAGAAGAGTTGTTGAGTTCTGTTTTGTGCTCATATTTCAAATTTCAATGAATAATAAAATAAAACCGGAATCATATGTGCGAATCCAAAGTATAAAAACCACTCCATTTAAGACATCGAAAAACAGATATATTCAACTTTCCATAATTTAAAAAGTGTGCATGTGTTTGTTTGTTTGTTTTTTTCCTTCGTTCTTTCACCCAAAGTTTCATGGTCTTCAAATCGCACAATTTGAACACTTTTGTTTTTTTACAATAAAATGATGATCCAAATCGAAAGATAAAGATATTCATAGCCAAATAAAGTTGATCATTGACATCATAAGTCGTTGATTAAAACGAAACGAAAAACAACAAAATTTATGATGAAATATAAAAACGATCACGATAGAATGACAAGCGATCTCACGAAGTAAAGTAAAAACTATATGCTGTTGCATCATTTGCTTAAGTCTGGCAAATCGAAACAGCAAATCAAGAAAATTTGATATGTGCGGATGCCGATTCATCAAGAAAACAAGCATGTTTATATGAAATATGAAACATTGTGAAAAAACGAATTTGCCAAGTGTGTGCTAAATTATCGATTACTGAATATTCATATATAGTAGATACTCGGTCGTGCAAAAAAATGCTTCATCAAAATGTTAAATAAAAAGCGGCATATGTCAAAATGATTGACTATTGAAATTTTCACCCTCTCAACCATTTCACACATCAATATCTCAAAATCAACTCGAACAATTTCATTCATTCAATTGAATTCGAGACAATAAGCAAATAATATGTGTGTTTTTTTCAATTTTTATCAGCACATTTGCACCTGATAACGACTGTATGAAGTAAAACTTAAGAATCGAACAGTTTTGTTATCATCATTTGTTTTCTATTTATTTTTAAATCTTTCAACAAAAATCGTTGTCAAACGTTTCAATATACGTTGGTGTACATTGCTCAATGTTAACTGCAATTATCTGTCTCTATGTACGTAAAAAAGGTTGGCAAATAATACCGAACCCATTTTGATATCATTGTATTATAGTTAAAATGCAACGATGACCGTGATTAAGACCGAAAAAACTTTTTAAACAAATATTTTTTTTCAGCATGATTGAGCACGATGCAAAAAAAAATAAAATGTATATGACGAAAATAACACGGCAGTTGATGCAGTGCGTCAGGTCGTTTATCTATTATTCCGTTCATTTCGTGACGGACGCATGTCGCTTGCGGAATACAGTTCCTTTCGTTTAAGAAAAAAATAAATAATAAATAACCGACAAATTTTGTTATTCTGAAAATATACTGAATCTCATGTGATTATTGTTGTTGTTTGTTAAATCTCGTTGAGTTGTTTTTTTTTTATAGCAAAAAAATGATTTGTGCTTCTCATTCGCCTAGAAACACCAAAAACGTTTTGAAGCTGGACCTTTGCGCAAACGCCGCAACCCAATCGTCGATATCATCTGTTTGTGTGAGACAATTGCGAAAACAAAATTGTGGTGATTAGCCACCTAAAGCGTACATGCTACGTGCGATATTTTCAGTTTCGCTCAACTAATAAATTGTCGTTGATGACAGCGTTTAATCAGTTCGTTACCGACTTTCACTCAGACAACACAGCTCGTGTTTCAACACACAAGATCATTCTACCAATAAGCGGCAATCTAAAAAAAACCTAACGTGTGGCGCGTGGACCACATTTATTGTTTTTGAACTAAAATTTGTTGAACCGGCGGTTTTTATGGGTGTATTAACTCTTTTATATCAATCAAAAAAAGGATATTGTTGTTTTCGCATGTAAATCTGAATTCAAAAGTGTGCTGCAGTGAAACCAAAAAAAAAATATTTAAGAAGAACAAACAAAAAGTTGCCTTACACCAACAGTAAACATTCTTGCATCATTCAAAGTCCAACGCGGCACTGACACCGTAACGTTTTAAATAGAATGTTGAAACTGATTTTATTGCAATTGACAATCCCCACTCCAAATAAACGGACTACAAACGGATAGTGAACGAAACAACAGCAAATTCAAAACCACCCTCAACAATCGGCTATAACTCGAATTTATCTCAAAAGTTATACTACACAATTCATTATTCAGTTGAACGTTGCAGTGAACGGACGTTTAAAGCTTGCTGCTCACTGGCACAGTCAATACGGAAACGTGTCGGAACGTGTTTGCAACTCTGTGATTTTAAATTTAATAAGAAGATAGAAGAAACGAGAATCGTTTTTTTTTAAATCGAGTGAATTACAACCAATTTATCAATATTTTATAATTTAAAAATAAATCAACCAAAGATGTACTTCCAAGGTCAATTTCAATATGCAATTTGCATAGATTTCGTTACAACGTGCTGGGATCATCGAAATTTTTCACAAGCCGATGCTATTGACAGACAAGAAATTATCGGTAAGTGGAATTATCACAACTCATGTGTTCTTGTACGGTAGTTTTTTTTTGTTCGTTTCGTTGAGAGACGATTTCCTCAATAATTTTTTTGAAGTGTTTTTCAACCATTAATTTTGTTATCTATATTTTGCAAAAACACTTGATATAGAATTCCCAGCCGTGTTATTGAATCTACAATCTCATGTAATCGAAGCCGATTTTCACACATTCGTTCGGCCAACTGAGGAACCAAAGCTGAGCGAATTTTGCAAAGATTACACGGGCATTTCACAGGATGACGTTAACAATGCACCATTGTTGCAAGAGGCAATTCGCAAATTTCATCAATGGATCGAAAGTTTTCGATTCGAAAAAGGCATCGTATTAATGGATGATGCAACACGCAAACAAAATACCGTATTCATTACTTGGACTGACTTTGATCTCGGAATTTATTTGCCCACCGAATGCGGACGCAAAAATGTTAAATATCCATCATATTTTAACAAATGGATCGATCTACGAGAATACTATAGTGTAAGTATTTAAATATACAATTTTTTTTAGTTTTGTTTATTTTCGAACTCATTTAAAAAAAAAAAAAAATTCTCACTTCAATGTGAAAAATGATATGAAACAGTCTCAGTAAATAATTTATTTATTTTGTCTATTTACAGCTGTGGACTGGCATTGATCGTGTGATTTCGTTTCAATTTGCTTTGAAGATGATTGGTTTGCAATTTTTCGGGCGACCGCATTCGGGCGAAGACGATGCTCGAAATTTAGCCCGTTTGGTGTGCAAAATGAGTCGAGCCGGCATTGAATTGTTAATCAACAGTGATGAATTCAAAATTTCATCATGAGTCAATATTAAAATTTAATTTTAAGAAATCATAATTTATGACTGAAAATAAATATTGGCATAAGTATTTCGAATCAGTTAGGTTTAAGATATGATGAATTGATGTGATAATTTTATTTTAAATGTTTACATCATTTTTATTTGTTATCGATATGGTGATAATGTTTTCCGAAAAATATGTTTCATTCTATTTGTATGTTGAGTGTCCCGAAACGAGATACGGACAGATTTCACACATTTTCGATTTAAGAAAATTACATTTTTCATGTAAAGTTTAGGGCATTTTTAAAAAAAATTCTTAATTCCAATTCCAAGATCATGCATACAAGACTAAGATCTTTTTAACATTTTCCAATTGGATAAAAAATATATCTATATTTAAGTGTCTGAACTGATTAGGTGATACAAGTATGTTTATAAAAGTCAACAAAATTGATAATTGTTTTATTTTTAAGTACACACAATTTTGATAAATCGATTTAACCAAAGTCCAATTAAATAGTTTCTATTTGTTATTATTTTTTTACCCCCAATTCGGAGCACTTATAAATGATTCATATCAGTACATTAAAGCCCAGTCTGATCGTCTCCATTTTATCTTATATTGTGCGGCACGAGAGCTGACAGTCTTATACTTTTCATGTGAGATCCAATCATCATTAATGTGAACCGATTTCACGCTGTTTTTTCATCCATTCGTTGATAACACTCGTTTTCTTTTATTACCGTCGAGACGATAAGAGCAAATAGTGGCCGATTTACAGCTGTTGTCATTTTCAATCAACAACACAACAATAAAATAATAAAAGTACCTTTTTCCGTTCATTGTTTCAAATACGGTGAAACCGGTTAAGTATTCAATTATCCGCAACCGTAGCGCATACTCAAACTTTTAAGTAAACCAAAGTGAACCATTCACAAAGTGAACACAATTTGATAGTGACTTTTTGTTGACGTTCACAATTTAGATAGATGACAATCTTGTCATGCGACTCAGTAACATATTCGCACCGAATAGATGTAGTTTATATAAAACAAATCGAAACCTAGTTTTTATTTAAAATAAAAATAAAAACGCAAATAGGACAGTAGAAATTAGTTTAATCACGTCAAGTGCCAAACAAAAGTAGATCAGTGATTATTAGTTTTTGTATCAATTGATTTGAATTTCAACATCATTAATAAGCAGCGACAAAACAAAAATAAAAATGTCTTTTCAATCGGCGATGCCAAACCAACAATTCCTTTGGGATGTTTTCCAACGGTATGTGTATATATAGTTTTTGTTTTTTATTTCTTTTTGCACATTCTATATTAGCAGTGATTCACTGTATGGCAAAAGTGCAGCACATGCACTATTTCGTATTGGAGAAATTTCACAATTTGTTTTGTTCCTGTGACTCAGTCTATGCGTAGCTTGTTGTGACGTGTACTTCACGTACACTGTTCTATAGGCAAACACTCGTAATATTTGAACAGACCATATGATGTCATAACACCAATAATAACATTGCTTTGAATGTTCTGGTGTCTTCGGCGAATTTATTACTATCATCCTTAATTTAAATTAGCAAAGCATGCCGCAATAATAGACGTTTTTTTTCTGGAAATAGACATTTGGAATTTTTTTTTGTCGTTATCAACGTTTAAAGGTTTTTTTTTATTCTTTTTCGTTCAGTGTTGACAAAGATCGTAGCGGTTTTATTTCAGCCGATGAATTACAACAAGCCCTTTCAAATGGAACATGGGACCCATTCAACCCAGAAACTGTACGGATGATGATTGGTAAGCCTTTTTTACAAAAATTACGCCAATTTTTTTTTGCAAGAATTTTTCACACGTCAAAAGATTGTATATTAATCCATTTTTTAAAAAAAAAAGGTATGTTCGACCGAGAAAACAGAGGCGCGGTCAGCTTTCAAGATTTTGGCGCCTTGTGGAAATACGTAACAGATTGGCAAAATTGTTTCCGCTCATTTGACACCGATAACTCGGGAAATATTGACAAAAATGAACTAAAAACTGCGCTCAGTTCATTTGGTTATCGTTTGTCAGACAATTTGGTTGGAGTGCTTTTGAGAAAGTACGATCGCTATGGACGCGGAACAATTCTATTTGATGATTTTATTCAATGTTGCGTCACTCTCTACGTACGTATCATATGTGTTTTTGAAATATGGTCACTTTTTTACTCGAAATTTCTGATATATTTCTATCTCTTGACATTTGCAGACTTTGACGGCTGCGTTTCGCCAACACGACACTGATATGGATGGAGTAATCACAATTCATTATGAACAGTTTTTAAATATGGTTTTTCAATTGAAGATTTGATTGAAATGAAAATAAAAATGTTTTTTTTGGTGAAATTACAATCAACTCAATTTAAAAGGCCAAATATACGTATTCTATCAATAAAAAAACAATAAAGTGCAAATATAATCCAATTTAATTGGAACTCATCCAGAATTAAACTTACGAGCATACAATTTTATATAAAATAAATATTACCAATTGGACTTCCTAAATTCAAAGTACTTGGTTTTGAATCGAATTTTCGAAGTTCAATAGTACTAATGTTAATTGAGTATAATCTGCACCACACCTCTTCTCTATTTATCTGACGCAACTTTGAGGCGCAGTATTATTGCATTTTGCAGAGATAAATATATAATTTTTTACAATCATTGAATTGCATGCAGCGAACATTAAATATTCATTTGTTGGTGATAAGGAGATGAACAAATTAAATGTGTCAAATAAAAAAATATATTTTATATGCCTCAATTTCGTATTTTATTCTGTATTTTAAAAAATAAAATTAAAAAATAAAATTGTGAAACCGCTAACGTTTTATTTCTTTTCAAATATTTATTATTATTATTTTTTTTTTGCAGCACAATGGGTTTATTAACGAGCGACAAGATTGATAAAAACGTACGTGATCACACATTCCGAAAAAAGCGTCTACACTTTGATAAATAACACAAGCCTTCTTGAGCGATGCTCGTAAGGTCGTTTACCCCAAGTTCAATTAGCACCTTCAAGTACAGTAATTTCATGTTAATCATTTACAATTTCATGACATTTTCACCAGCTTATGATTAGTACATGTTGTGATTTTAGTGTTGAAGCATTAATGTTTCATTGTGTCAAAAAAATTTTGTACAAAACTTGAAAATGTTGTCGAAATGTTCAATGTGTCTCTTTGTTTTCGTTGTCTTATTTTGTAGCGTACAAATAATATCCATTGAAAGAAATGAAAACTACGAAATTAAGCTAAAAGATCACCAGAAACTTTTGTCAAGAAAAAAACGATATCTCACTTTTCCCGAAGGAAGCTCTCTTCAATTGGGTAAGATTTTGCGCCGTGATTTTGATTTTGAATACCGTGTGATTTTCATTCAAATTTCCCTAGTATACGATCAAATCATCGGAATGGTTGATACAACAAATCTACATATATTTGGCATAACATGTTCACTGGCATGGCAATTGCCACACAAAACTATTTTTGGCGAGGAGCATACCGAACAGCCGATGCACAATAGCAAAATTTCAATCAGCACAATTGAGAAGAAAAAATTTGATTATAATGAATCGCAGTCAAGCGCTGGCAATAATTATCATTTTGACACCTATTACAATCGGTCAAATTACTATTCGCACAAAATAAATGACAATTTTTATGACTATTTAAATAAGGCAAAGCCCAATTACGATGATTGGCAGAAATTTCGCACAAACAAAATAAAATGGAATTATTCACATGATGTTTATCCAGCACTTCGAATGAGAAGACACATTGCCAATCATGATGAAAAGATAAGCATCATTCATCCCGAAATAAAACAAAATCTAAAACATCATCGCGACACACGATTCACCCTCTATAAATCAATTGAAAAATACTTGAATGCGTGCGTATGACCCAGTTTATAAAATTAACGCTTTTAAATTTAATATTTTGAAATGTTTTTTTTTGTGGAGTTAAAGAAAAGATAATATTTATATTTTTTTATTGTAGAAAAGGCGAGAATGGCGAAGAGTGCATCAAATTGGCAATATGTGAAACTGCGCAAATCGAACACAATAACAACGATGATGAAAATATAGATCCAGATTCATTTTTTAAAGAACTGTTACGCTCCGTTTTTAGGTAGATATTTTTCAAAAATTCATTTTTGAGTTTTTTACGCTTTTTATCAAAAATACAAAATTCCAGTTTGCCACCAGGAAAATTCCATCCGATACGCGAAATAAATCCAAACAAATATGACGACGCATTGAACGAAGTAGATCACAAGAATGTCATTGACTGCCGGAGTAAATATCCATTGTGTTCAACGAGCATATGGAGCGAAAGTTTCATATTTTAATCAGTCAAGCTATTTTTGTACTATCGATACAATAAAGTCTTATTTTAAATACAAAATGACGCAAAATTATTATCATAAAAAAATGAGAATTCTTCCGTCTAAAAACAAACTGAAGTGACTGAACTTATATTTATGAAAGTAAAAAGTGCTTGACCGAACGTGTCGCTTAATTTTTATTCATTTCTTTCGGTTGATAATTTTCAGTTCTATTGGGCGCAATTGTTTTATAGGTTAAAAATGTGCTAGCAATCATTCCAAACGAAATTCATATAGTCACTGGCTTCCATCATAATATATTCCACAAATATGATCCAAGGGCCGAGAAAATTCTGTTTAAAAAAAAAAAGACTGAGGTATTTTGAAAATTCCATAAAAAGATATAAAAATTGAAAATAAACAGATTTAACTACAACGTACAAAATGATTCAATATTTTTAGCTATTTTCACAATTCTTCTCGCAAAGTATATTTTTACGAAAGAGCGATTATCTATCTAAATCTGATTTATTTATTCAGAGAGCAACAAATAGATTGAAAAAAGAGAGAAAGAGAATTACCAAAGAGCAAAATCATGTACCCTTTACAATGTACATCTTTAAACGTCAAATGAGCAAATCGTATTGGTAATGGTCAACCATAATCACACTTTGTGTGATAAAAATGACGTTTGCAAAGCAAACGGACTTTGTGCTGTCAGTTTGGCATCTGTAAACAAGATCAAATGTTCATAAAGCCGACACACAAGTCAGTATTGTAAAATTCGGTGTTAAAATTAAACAAATCAAACCGAATTTGGATTAATTGTGATGCAAAATGGATATCAATCAAATTAATATTGAAATTGGCGTTTTTTTAAAACGATTGCGCATGTATTCGGATCGAAAAAATGTTCAAATCAATGACAAAACCGCTGAACTCCTGCTGGATGTCGTTGTGAGTGTCGACAAATTGATTGCAAATGCTGAAATGATTCCAAAGACTGGCGATGACAACACAAAATTCATCTTCGATTTGAACGATCAACAATTTGATCTACGACAGTATATCATGTGCCGTCTATGTGTTGTAAGTAAATGAAAGATCAAAAGATGAGTTCAAAGGGTGTTATTGATTTATTAATGTTTAATGCAGGAACAAATTGGAATGTCAAAAGATGATCTCGATTCACATTTGCAACGGAATGCCAATGTACATAAACCACAGCCGATAGCGAAATTGCCGGGCAGCGAAGTAAAAAGAAGCAAAGCTCCAGCAGAAAATGGACAGTCTCATGTCAAATTGAACCATGTAAATGGAATTCCAACAGTTGGCGACGCAGACAAAGACTCTGATTCCGATGATACTTTCACGTCAGGTTTTGTATTATTTCTGGATCCCAGATAGGTTGGAAAAGCCAATAATCAAACCATCTTCACATTTCAGCTTCAGTTGTTGAACAACGGGGAGAGACTAAAAGAAAGAAAGAATCCGTTCCATTTAATCGTGACTCGACCTGGTTAATTCACGTTTCGGGATTCCCTTGGGTTGCAACGAAAGACGAGATTCTCGCATTTTTCAATGATGTCAGTGTTCTGAACGGTGTGGATGGAATTCATTTCATAATCAACGAAACCAAAAACAAATCCAACGAAGCATTCATTCAATTGTCAAGTGACAAAGATGTTCAATTGGCAAAAAAACGTAAAATGATCATATCACGGTGTGTTATGTCGAATTTGCTAAACAGTAAGGGTTTATCTATTATTATTCTACATATAATTGATGTGTACATAAGGTTTCTTTTCTCGTTAAAGTTTCACTACAACCGTCAAGCACTCAATTTTCGCAATTGCTAACGAAAAAAACTTATCCATTAGAGCAACGAGTGTTGCGAATCGAACAGTTACCATCCAATTCATCTTCTGATGACATCAAACAGTATTTTAATGGCATGATTAACACTTATCGTTAAAAATAAACAAAATTAAATTCAATTTTTATGTTATTTTAGGTCGATCAATTTCAAGTATCCACTTCGTATATACAATGAAGCAAAGGTACGAATTGGCGAGGCATTCGTTGTATTTAAAGATGTGGACGAAGTTGAATTGGCATTGAGCAATGTGGATCGCAAAAAGATTCGCGGTGTCTACGTCAAAATATTTCGAAGTTCGATTGAGCAATTTCAGTACTATTGTAAGGCTCCGGGATCAGATAGTGCTTCCGAAGCTGCTTCGAATACCTCACCAATTCTATATCGCATCAATTCAGTGCCGAATTTGAGTGAGAGTGAAAAAAATTCATTAATTTAAGACAATTAAATACATAAAAGCCATTCATACTTAGGTCCAATGAAGAAGATTCACAGCTCAACAATCAGTTTGAAGACCGACATTGAATCATTCAAAGTTTGTATTTGCGGTATACCATGGACAGCGCAAAAAGCCGATGTCGCATCATTTTTTCAAGGCGTAAATATTGTCGGTGGCGTTGATAGCATTGAAATAAAGAGAAAGGTAGAAAGAGGGCCGTTGGAAGCCACGTTCATAGTCAATTCAAAGGAAGATCTAAAGAAGGCATTGTCACGCAATCGAAAGAGCTTCAATTCCAGGACAGTATATGGTTGGTAGTATACACATATTATGGAAAAAAATGAAATACATACTTACGATTATTCTTACAGTGTCATATATGTAATCAAAAAAACTCGAGAGAACGTCAATTTCAAAACGATTGCCAACAATGGGTAACAAACAACGTTTCTATTTATAATGTTGAATTAAGAAGAGCCAAACCGAACCATGTGTTTAAAAGGCGACCATTTTAATAAGCTATAGTTTAATTGATTGAAATCTTTTATATTTTTTATATATCTATCCAAATATCATCTATCTATCTATAAAAAAAATCAGCTAAATAAAGAAAAATCAAATCAGCTCAATATGAGAAATATCTGAGCTCAATTTAAAGCAACGGATAAAAGAGATCTATTTATTTAAATTAAGAATGTTCATCTTATTTGTATTGTTATTTGGGTTACGTTGATTAAAGACATTGAAGATTTTTTGACCGCTTGAAATATATACGACTTTTTTCGATGCAAAGTCAAAGAAAAAGGAAAAATGTTTCAGGCATAGAACAAGTTTATTTTGCTTGGAAAAAATAAATGATTAAAACTTATTCGAGTCGCAATTTATTTAAAAAGAACAGATGTACTGAGTTCATTACTAATGAGTCATTACAACTAGGGGAAAAAGGTATGAGTCATGAATTTTTCCTGCCCCACCATTAAAACCCCTCACGTGCCGCTGCAGCGGGTTCTTTTTAAGGAATGCATGCGCCAATTACGCAGCCAAGCAAGCCGCCCACGTAACCACTATAAGCAGCGGCTCTGCAAATTTCCGTACCATTACTGGTACATATTGCTCCCAATGCAGTACCAATAAGAGTGCCACCACCAACTCCAGCACCTAAGCCAATGCCCATATTAGCCATATTGATATGTGAGTGACCAACATAAATATATCTCGTTTTCGCCTCTGCAACCGTCAATTGACATGCGGCTGCAGTGCACATCATACCCCCGACGACAACATCTATCAACTGTTTGCACTTTGTTTTCACATCTATACAACAGATTTCTTTTTCTCCTTCAACTTCAGAAACACCTACTAAGAGCTGCAAAAAATTAAGAAATAAATAGGATTGCAATCTTTTTGTCCTTCTGTCAATAGACTATACCGAGAATCTGGTAAATATACTATGGTTTGATTAAATGAAAAAAAAAACTTTCGAAAAATGACTTATGCCGTTTTAGCTTAAATGAATTATTTCATTGAATTTTTTATTCCAAAGTTAAATGCACAAAAAACAACTTACCAAAGCCACAATTGCTGCGCTTAAAATAATGAAACATTTCATCTTGACTATTGACTTTCTTTATAATGACAGAGTTAAAAACCAATTAACCAATTGATATACAATGTAAAGGTGAACGCTTTATTTATACCAAAAATTGTTCTCGCGTTACAAAACACATCTTGTATGTAAAAATTCGACAAATTTTGTTTCTAAATTCACAAATTTTATTAATGTAGTTGGTCTGTATATCTACGTGTCTGTAACAAACTCTGTTGACAAATTTAACCTTGAAGAATTTTTGAATTAAGAAAACAGGGTTTTTTGAGCCACGTAGATATACAAAATATATAAAGTGTTAGAAAAAGAATGAGATGAGAGAATAATGATTATAATCGCATTTTTAAACCGAAATATCGCGATACTTAGACCAGCATGTTTCGTGTGTTTACAAAATTCCTGTAAAATAACTGTGAAATTTCAGATAAAAGTCGTATGATATATGAAGTAATCACAAAGAAACAAACCTAATTGGATCGCATTAAAATGCAAAAATGTCTAACCATTGACGAAAAGTATCAATATATCATTTTTTGTTGCTGTGCAAGTTCAGTTAATTTTAGTTAGTTTCTTTTTAATTCACACATGTCTCCAAACAGGTGGTCTGGAATATTATCAAGTTTTTTTCTCAAATACATTTGCTGGTAATGTTAGATTAATATGCAAGCAAAGGAACGGGTTGGTGTAATAATGTAAGCGAAGTTGAATTGGCATTGCGAAACTTGGAAACTTTATCCGAACCCTAGGAACCCTCGTCATCATCTATGTTTAAGTTAATTAAAGTTAATTTATTGATTGTTATGAAACACAACATAGTACATATGATTGCCCGAGAATGAAGGTGAGACTTCCCGGTGGGCGCTGGTGAAGCACTTTTTGTATGGAAATATTTGATGAAAATTCAACAATACGTTACCTATTAGATTTTCGTTACTACTGATGTGTTGACACAGCTCTAGCGAACTATATGGCTATCGCCTAGGCTATCGCTGTATGGCATAACTTTAGTTTAGGGACACATTAATTGGAGCGATGTTTTGTTTCATTTTGTATTAGTAATAAGCCATCAAGCCATTAAGCTAATCACTTCCATTGTTTATCACGGGATACGGCAGTCCCCCAAGTGCCGCAATACCAACATACATATGAAATATGTATATTTTGCGTCACTCCAAATATACGTTAAAGAAATGAAAATCAATACCGCGATTTTTGACCACTGAAATGATTTTTTTGATTTTTTTTGGTCATATTCGGAATCTGGGGACCGCGTAGATAATGTTAAAAAAAATATCACCACGATCGGTTGAAAAGTGGCCGAGATATGGCCAGTTGGCCAAAAAACTCAAATTGGCCGGTTGAGGTGTTTGTGTGTGAGTCCGTACCTTCTTTTAAATTGTGTGAAATTATTTTTTTTTTCGAAAGAAGACTGAAAACTGAGCAAACTAATTTCTCAGTTTCAAAAAATTTGTTGCGTAAGTGGTTTTGGTCTGGGGTCGAATATTTTTGGGAGGCCGTTTTTGAGTTTTTCATCAATCGGACATTTTTCTGGCCATCTGTAAGGTACCACAATGATTTATACGTCGTTGGAAAGGTAAAAGACTCACCTTTCCGGATCCGAAGTCAGAATGTCCGCCAGGTGGCGTGTTATGTGACATTTTCGGCGAAAAATGACCATGAATTTTTTCACGTGATCCAAATTTTTAAAAAAATGCGTCTATAAAAAAACTCAAAAAACTAGGCGTCTGTTAGGGACCAAATATGTGAAATTATTAATATGATAGGGACCAAATTTGGCGTATGTTTCATATCTGGGAAAATTCGTTTTTTAAAAAAAATACTCCGAAGTTGAAATTTTTTGTTCGGCAAATTTTCAATTTTTGGCCATTTTTGATCACAGGTATACGGGGTGTTTTTTAACAGAATCACATCATTCTTAGCTTATTGGAAAGTCATTAAGGTCATCTTGATAAAGCAATAGTAGTGTATAGATAGCGGTTTCATCCACGTTTCTTAGTATTAGTGCACACACACACACACACACACACTGCAAAACCTGTTTTAGCCACACCCAAAAACAACTTCATTCTCTCTCTTCTCTATCCTTGATCAACGATCAACGTCTCTGCTTGCTGTAAAAACTATATGGCAACGATCGTGTGTGACAGATGGTGAGGAATAGTGGAAAGCAATGAGACGTTAACCAACGTCTCTGTTTGCTGTATAAAGTATACTAGCCGGCCTCCGCTCGCTTCGCTCGCTACGGCACGCTCGCTCCGCTCGCTCGGCTAGGCATGTTATTATAATTCCTATCTCTGAAATTACTATCTCTATTAGACTGGCCCCCAAAACACAAAAGTTGAAATTTTTCCGCTCTTACCTCGGAATACTTTTCCATATGGTGTGCAAATAACGTGTGTAAAGTTTCATGCCGATAGCTCAACGCTAGATGGTGCCGCAAGAGCTCGGTAGGTCATTATGTGAATTCATTGAAAAATGACGTTTTCAGTTAAAATAAAAATATCTTCGCACAACCATATCGACTAAAAATTGATGGTAATCGTCATTTTCCATCAAACACCTGCCACTGGTGAGGTTTCAAACGATTTGGATGAAAATAAAACACATCTCCATGCAAAATTTTCATTTTTTTGACCAAAAATTCCAATTTCATCACCAAAAATGAAGGTTTTGTACCAAAAGTACGACAAACCTCCACAAATTAATCTCATTTGAAGTTAGAATACTTTCAGAGCAGAACTAATGTGATTCCACTTTGGTATACATCCATTTGAACGCATCGTATAGCTGGAACACTGTCATTTGCATAGCAAATTGTGAACAATGAACGTGGGGCCAAAATATGAATATGAAACATGATTTATCCGAACTAGTTTATACAGTCAAAATTGATCCAATTTAGTTATTGAAATAGGTTTAGAAGTGAATTGTAGTTCGGATAAATCCTAGGGGCTTTCATCATTCGTTCATACAAATTTATACACAATATTCACGTCCTATTCATCATATATACGATTAAAATTTCTCGCCTATACCAGTGAATAAGATGTATTTCAAACTTCAGTGTACACACACACACAGTATTGCTACACAGAATCGAAGAAGATCCGCACAAAAGAGAACAAAAAAACATGCCATAGACGAAATATATACGAAATATACACGAAATATACACCAAATATATGCAGTTATGCACATTTATTTGCGCGTATTACAGATGATTTTGCAATATAGTTCACTATTTAGAGTATAAATCGTATACATTTGAAGATAAAAGCCCCTAGGATAAATCATGTTTCATATTCATATTTTGGCCCCACGTTCATTGCTCACAATTTGCTATGCAAATGACAGTGTTCCAGCTATACGATGCGTTCAAATGGATGTATACCAAAGTGGAATCACATTAGTTCTGCTCTGAAAGTATTCTAACTTCAAATGAGATTAATTTGTGGAGGTTTGTCGTACTTTTGGTACAAAACCTTCATTTTTGGTGATGAAATTGGAATTTTTGGTCAAAAAAATGAAAGTTTTGAATGGAAATGTGTTTTATTTTCATTCAAATTGTTTGAAACTT